GATTTGAATGCTAATATTAAGTTATACGTTGTCACTACTAGGCCTCAAATCATTTTTGTAGTCTGACTAGTCGTAGAAATTTCATGTTCCCAAGAAGATCTTTTGATGTCCAGTTATCAGTCATAGCATCAAGTTCCTGTCTGATGACAGCCCCAAAATTGTCAAGGATACTGTCTGAGATGCTCTGTAAGCAAAAGCATAGACATCTACAAGGAAAATATTTGTAGACTGAGTTGATTCTTGCTAAGACTCTTCATGTCCAACAAATAGATATGTGTGGACAAGGACACTGATCGAAAAAATAAAGATTGTTTAATTGGACTCTCTTTTGAGCTTAGCAGTAAACCATTTTAACAAATGAAAGCCATTATTTGAAGAAAGATTATTCCTTTAATGTTTTCTGTGTTAGATCCCTGACAGATCAATGAAATTTGTCAAATTCAATGTATCATTTTTTTATTGTAACCAATCTCTACTTTTGATGTGGCATCACAGTGCTTGCTGAAGGACTTAATTCATTGATCTCATCTGACCAAATGGCATTCAGCTTCTGTTACCTCAAAAAGCTCTCCCACATAAGCTTGTTTATTCAAGAAGTGGATTTGGCTTTGTAATTCCATTGAGTCATGTGGATTTAGCTTCTAGCTGATTTCTGATTTTCTGGGTAGACCCAGGTAGGACAATCTCCTTGATGGAAAAAAACAACAGCTTTCATTTACTTTTAATCTAATATAAAAATGGTGGAAAGTGCTTAAAAATAACCAGCAAAGCAAGAAGCAGCAGCAGCAGAAGAAAGAAGAATCTTCCTATAAACATCTAAACGGATCAAAAGAACATTTTCAACCAAATTTTCTGCAATGAAGTGCAGACTTGACCCAAGCAGGTAGAATTGATTTGAAATCCTATGTGATTGTTGCCTTCTCTTGTTTTGCTTGTATTTTCCCTTTCCCAATAAACTTCTATTTTACATCTGCCACCTGGTCTTTGTTGACTTTAGAATAGAATTCATTAGAGTATATCCCATTTGCAAAACTGCATACTTATATAGCTACGCTGTTTCAGGATTGGAATTCACATTTAAGTGCTATAATTCTGGGCAGTAAGCAGGAGGATTCTGAAGGAAATAAAAGTTATTCTTTTATAAAATTATAAAAAAATAATTGTAGAAATGTAATGCCAATATATGAAACTGTCTCTTTAGTACAAATGTAACACTGTAACACAAATGTAGCAATACACTGCCAAATGTGTGAGAAGGTTTGTTCAATGTTTACTTCCTAAAATTCCTCCGGACACAGGAACTTACACTTTGAGTAGAAATCACTATCAAAGAGGGGGATTTTGACCCAAAGTGAGAATTACAAATAAACAAGATAACAGCAGATGGATGGAAGAGGTCAGGTTAACAAAGTACAACTTCAGAGTACATCCATAAAGATGAAAGAGCTGTTTAGATGTGACATGCATTGTAGGGGGTATAAAATGCAGATCTTGAAACCTGGCCAGTGTGCTCCTGGAATCCAATCCATAGGGAAGGATCCAGGCGGCCGCGTTTGCAAACGCTCTTCTATTCTTTCTCTTTTCTCTTTTATTCTGTTAATGTTATTCTCCAATAAACCTTTGTTTTGTTAACCAGACTTGTCTTCGTATTGTGAGTATCAAAATTTGGGGTTTTTACATCTCACAATTCCTATCAAATTCCTTTGTACTTCCTAGGATTGAGATGAAGACAGAAGTGCTGAGCAGATGACTAAGAATTCCTTAACTGGACAACCTACTGTAGCTTTTACTGGGGGAAGCTTGTCTTCCATCGAAGTTTTTAAACAAGCCCTTCTCTGGTTTTGTAACATTTACATATAAGCAAATTACATTATTATTGGAGAAAACAATGGCTGTGTTAGCAGCAGTATTTTTTTTCCCTTTCCCAAATGCAAATGTTTCATATATAAAAGCAAAAATACATAATTAGTCTTATATAGCCAGATAATCAGAGATGAGACTGTGGGATATGTTGATATGAAAATGTATTGAGGCAGGAAATTGATTTGCTCAGACAATAGAGCAAGAAAGGCAACTTGGGAAAATGTTTTGGCCCAATATATAACCCTTTCTAATTTTGTAATTTTTTAAAATGCATTATCAAAGCTTTGAGAAACCCTAAACATATAACAAACTTGCACAAACAAATTACACAGAAGCAACAGCTTGAATGTAATATTTTTATAATCTTAAGGGGAGAGATGGCATTTCCAACATCCATTTTCAATATATCTGTTCAAAGGATGCATTAGAAATTGTTTTGAAATTTTTTCTTTTCCCTGCAAAAAAACATTGTTAGTTTGTGGAGAAGATGTAACACACTGAACAATTTTCTGTTACAAATAAGCTGGTGTATAGTCAAGTTACAGTAGCAAAATTCTGATAAAAGTAAAAGGAAACAACACCTTTTCTAAGTTGCACTGTTGGGGGCTTAGACATTTTTCAGAGGCTAATTAGTGAACATAAATCATAGATTTGTGCATTCTTCAAAAATGAAATAGTACTTCCAATACTGCCTATGACTCATTAAGGCAATGATACTTTTTATTAAGTTTCTGCTCATGCCTAAAAAAGTGCCCCTGAAGCAAGAATACCATTTTTCAGGCTCACATATCTGAAAAAGAAAGACATAGCTGCTTTAATAAATAGTGGAGAGGTACTGAAATTGCATAAAAAGTGAAGCACTTTTTCTAATTTTGTGTGCAATTCTAATGAAGGCTGCTAGTTTACTATGAAAATTCACTTCATGTAGAGATTATTAGCAGGAACAACTTACAGTATTTAATTCCTAGCCTGTGTTATATGCAAAGGGACCCACTCTCTGTGTTCAGAGAAAGGTTTGTTTACACAAGGCCAACTCTATCCTCTTACACAGGTTAATGATGTAGGCTAATGAAAACCAATTTAATTTGGTTTTAGTTTACCAAGCTGAGTTCAAGAATTCATTGAACTGTGAAGACTTCGGGATGTCTGGGGCCAGTCACTATTTCTAGTCTAAATGACTTGATATTGTGGTGATAAAAATTAGACAATTCCCCTCCCCCCCTCAAAAAAACACTTTAGGAACTAGAGAAAAGATATAACTATAATGAAGATGAAGAAGCATGACTTACATTTAAGTACTGTAATAGACTAGTTAGTGAACATGCCATGAAGTTTAGTTCAGAATATTTATAATGGAATTACTGAAAAAAATGAGCCCCAGTTTTAAAATTCAGCTGGTGATGGATTAAGATTTCTATGGCCTTCTGCCAATGGGGGATTTAAATCTAAAATAAAAGTTAAGAAAAAGTATGTGTTACAGAAAACCCATCAATCACCAAAAGCCTATTTATGAGCATGCCTTAAAGATGAGAAAGCAAGCAGCTTGTGATAAGTTATGGCTTGGGAATGTGCAAAGACACAGTAATCAAGGATAACCAAGAGTTGTAGTCCAATCCACGGCACACTACATATGACACAAAAGGAATGCTGGAGCAGTTTAAGAAATCCAAATTTAATTAAAAACAACTCTGTAAATATAGGTTAGACAGTAAAGATCTTGGACTCTCAACAATCCGATCCCGGCTTTTAGATTAGAATACATTCTTTGTCTTAATCCAAGATGATTAATGCTTTCCTTTATAAATGATGAAATATTGTTGTAAACTTGTATCATATGTTGTTTATAGTGTTTAATGCTTAGACATATTCCATGTGCTTTGCAGAATGAACAAGGGTTCTCCCACTCAGAAATAGAAATGCAGAGGGAAAAGAGTGTGCCTCTTTTGACCTTTTCGTTCATTTGACTACAATTGTGCTTGTCTGAACACTAAATCACAAACTAGCCAATCCCATTAAGCCACATGTCCTGCAAGCCAGTATGATTTAGTTCACTGTGTCATGTGAACCAGTTAACCCTAGGTAACAATGCCTTGGGAATATGGCAACCAAGTAGAGTTTAGTACTAAGAACAATGTCAGAATCATCTGCTTTTACATGAGCAAGACTTTACTAGATCTAAATCTCCCACTCCAGATAGTCATGAACCTACAACCACAACTGACCCCCAAATTTCTGTTGCTAAGTGAGACATTTGTTAAGTGAATTTTGCCCCATTTTACAATCTTTCTTGCCACAATTGTTAAATGAATCATTGTTAAGTTGGTAACCTGGTTGTTAAGTGAATCTGGCTTCCCCATTGACTTTGCTTGTCAAGAGGATGCAAAGGGTGATCACATGAACCCGGGACAGTGCAATCGTCATAAACATGAGTCAGGTGCCAAGTGTCTTAATTTTGATCACATGACCAAGTCACTTTTTTCAGTGCTGTCATAACTTCAGTCACTAAACAAATTGTTGTAAGTTGAAAACTACTTGCATTCCAATTTTTAAAATGCTTTCAAATCGAAAGATTCTTTCCAATGGCTTTCCCAAGTCGTACAAATCCATCGCTTGATTATGGATTACAGATCATAATGAAAACAAGGAAATTGGATGGCTGAAGATCTGCAGCAATAAAATAAAACTTGGCAGTTCAGAATGGCTTTAAATGACATAGAAAGGAGGCATGGACTGGGTAGACATCCTTGCTTTTCAATCTAGCAACCATTCAGAATTGTTACAAATGGTTGTTATGTGGAGAATCATTTGAAAACCTCCGTATTGTTTTTATATGGGACAAGTAAAAATGTGTTCTGTATCTCTTTTGGCTGTAATTTACTGACACTTTAACTAGAACTATTAGGAATCACATTTCAGTAACACATGAAAGGCCACCTGTCACACATGGCATTAGACAGGAAGTCCTAATAAAACCAACGGGACCTTGCTAAGTAAACACAAATGGCATTCTACTTTGTGTTTCTTAACCAATCAAATAGATTTTGTGGAACAGTGAAGTACTGCAAGTAGGCTCTGTAAGGAAGGAAGACGCATATCATTTGATTCTATTACATTCAGAGAAGAAGGAAAAGCCATCGTTTTAATCTAAACCTTTATTAGAACAAATCTTAAGAGCTGTTAAACAATAAGTAACAACAACTTGTGTTAAATATTAAGTTCTGCAAAGATATTTTCAACAATATGTTTCTAAAATTTCTGCACAGCAGAAGCAAATAGATTTTAAAGTTCAGATGGCCATGTGCTCAAGTTAATTTGCCTTGGGCACAAAAAACAGTCTCTTAAAAAAATCACATTTGAAGTAGAAATGTGATCAGCTGAGAAACAGAAAATGTCCTTCATTTGTTATCATGCAAAATATGAGTACATATTTAAAATGGTGATGTACCCCTATCACAGGTTGCATTAATGATTGTTTAAGGAAGTATTAAATATACATCTCAGAAACTAAGAAGATATTAAGTTTCTCTTTTATTACCATGAACTATAAATGTTAATTAACATTTTACAAGGGCGGATAATAGATTGTATCAAAAGTTAGAAAATTAAAACTCATCCTTTAAAATAACATCTTATCTTTAGATGGATTTAAAAAATGAAATAGTCTTTTAACACCTGTTAACAAAGCAATAAATACTTTACACTAGTGTACTATATGTATCTCCTTGTTCCAGCTTCTTGTACTTTACAAAGCAGGACTCTAAATTATGGAATAATTGATGAAGTGATTCTGACTTAGCTAATTAGTGCATGGAAGTACAAGACATCGTATAATTGGCTCTAAAAATATATCTTGATTCCAGGGTTAATAATGAGCATTTCTAATTTTAATAAAGTCAGAATTTACCCTTAATTCCATGAATCTAGGCACAGTTAGTCAGAAGCAAGGGGATCTGCTACCAAATGAATTCAGTTAAGCTTTGTATCTAAGATTGTAACACATTTTTCTGAGCAGAGTATGGAAACCAACCCACGGAAATAATTACAAATATTAAGGTGTTACTCTAATACTTTGTACTGTACAGACGTCCTTGAAAGTTAAGCCTCATTTAATTTGGTGGGATTTACTTTTGGGTAAACACATAAGGTGTACACGCTTAGTTGTCCTATTGTCTTGTTAGACCTAAGAAATACTTTTTATAACTGCAATATTGTAACTTTTGTTAAGTAGTATTTATGCAACGTGATTGACATTAACAGGGGATATAATTGTCTTGATGAAAGCAAGGGCCTATGCAAAACTAAAGGGACATACCCATGCTACCTGTGGTTAGGTAGCAGTGCTATCCAGTCACAACTCCACTGCTAGTGTAACATTCATTCCTGTAACTTCAGAATAATGATTACTAAATGGCTGTAGTGTTGCAAAATACTGTACTCTTCCAAGTTTCCATTCCTTGAAAAGTTTCCTCCGTAGGAATGCTCAGCGAGACAGCCAAAAGAGCGCTGCAATGCAATTTGGCACCCATGTTTTCTACGCTTTGAGGGGGTCTCTGGGCTAATCATGAGGTGCACGTTTGCAGACAACCAGCAGAATGGTAATCTGAGCATGCACACGATTGCCGAGGGCGCAGCCCTACTCCGTTCAAGGGGCAGGCTCGGAGCTCTGTTTTACAAAGCACCCCCTCTGCATGGATTTCATCAGCTCTGAAAGCTGAAATATCTACAGGCATCACACATACAAGGCCAAGCAAGAAAAAATATTTCTTTTCTTCCCAGCATTCACATGGGAGCTTGTCTGTAGGACTGCCAACTTCACAGCTGATCCCTGTGGCTGTATCTGGAGCAGCTGTTTCATGCTCCTTCAGATCTGTAAAGGGGGCAAGGTTCTTCCTAAGTTGGCTACTAAAGCAAAGAAATGGACAGGGAGCACAAAGGACTGCGAACCTCACTGTGGAAAAGCACAAGCCCTTTGACTAACTTGGAATGAGGAAACGTTGCCAAATGAGTTTCCAGCCTTTTATGTAATTCCTAAATAAGCCTTTTCTTTCTTGCACATCTACCCATTTCCCTCACTTCATATCCTTTATATTATCTTATTTTGCTGGGAAGGAAGGAAGGGAGGGAGGGAATGTATGTGTTCTTTGTTTTCCATGTTCAACTATATAGATGGTCCTTGACTTATGATCATAATTGAGTCCAAAATTTCTGTTAGGTGAGTTGTGTTCCATTTTATGACCTTCTTGCTACAGTTACGTGAATCATTACAGTTGTGAAGTGAATCACGTGGTTGTTAAACGAAACCGGCTTCCCCCAGGTTGATTTGGCTTGTTGGAAGTTGGCTAGGAAGGTTGCAAATGGTCATCGCATGGATGCCAGGACAGTGCAACCCTCAAAAATACATGTGCCAGTTGCCAAGCGCCTGAATGTTGACCATGTGACTATGGGGATGCTGCAGTGGTTGTGTGAAGACTAATCATAGGTCACTTTTTTCAGTGCTGTGGTAACTTCAAACAGTCACTAAATGAATGATGGTAAGTTGGGGACTACTTGTACACCTTAATTTACAGCCAATCTTGATCTGCTCTTTCTGTCCTGTGGCTTCTGGCAGGTATGTATACAGGTGCAGATGTGGTTTTGTGACAATGGGATGGGAGAAACCAGAGTGGCTTGCCTTGGAATTGATGCCGCCCTGGATAGATTGGGGAAGAGTGGGGTGCAGATTTGGGCATTGCTCTGGAACTTTTTCTTTCTTGATAATTTTTTTTCTATCTAATCTACTACTCTTTTACAGGAAAGACTTTCTAAAATTAGGGTCATATGACATTTCTTAGCAGGGCAATAAATATTTCCTGTTAATTATGGTGGATCAAATTTCTGCTCAGAAGATAGATAAAACATCTGGCTGGAAAATTGGCACACCTATTTCTGATCTCCTGGATTGAGGAAGTTGAATAAATACCCCAGAAAACAGGGTTATGTGTGGGGTTGCAGCACAGGTTGAAGTGAAAAGTCAGCAGAGATTCAATATCCTAAATTATAAATCAAGCTGGCTAAAAACCAGGCTGAAAAACCTATTCCCTTAAATGTTATATTGCCCTCTACTTAGCTTTTTAGAGCAGATGGAGGTGGGGAAAATACAGGTTTTATAACACTTGCAACTACATAAAACAACCAAACTTGTACCAATGCTTTCAAGTAAATCAAAAGAGAGTTTTTGTTTATCTTTTTCAAGCAATAGTAGATTAATGGTTCAAATGGTGCTTGTAAACTTTGGAACATAAATTAGGTGATGCCAATAGCCAGTAAGGCACTTTGTATTGGAGCACACAGCTGTACAGGCTAGGAAAGTGACATAACTTGAAATGCAGTCAAGAGACATTTACATATTCTTTAACCATATATATACTGAAAAGGACATTTACAGGTTTTCTTCCTTGGAAACTCTTAACATTGTTCTGAAAAATCTGTTTACTCACCTAGAACAAAATTTTCAACATTAAAACATTTCATACCTCTTTTTTAAAACAAGAAAAATAAAACAACAGCCAACATTTTAATATTCTTCCACTCCAAAACAGCCAAGCCACAGGAATTAAAGAAAGAAATCAAGAGAGAGAGAGAGAGAAGGGGAAAAAAAAATAAATCTCTCATGTTTCCTCTGTCCCTGGAATTTGAAAGATTGGTGTCATGACAAACTCGGATGATTTCACAGGTACAATAGCTTTGGTATAAAACTTGCACAAGTAAAAGCTGACAACGTATTGCAGAAACAATGCACCAGACCCATCGCAAAATGGTGTGATCAGGACACTCGACCTTCTCTAATGTCTCTTGCTTTGTATGTTATGCTTGTTGAGTATCTTCAGCAGAGATTTACTCATGTAATAAGGTCTTTTGGTAGAACCGTCCTGACTTTCTAAATCTCTCACTATGAGGAAGAAAGGCAGAGAGCAAAAAATGAAACCAATCCAATACTTCCATCTGCTGGCTCTTTTGTGCACAACAGCAAACGCCTGCAAAAAATATATATATATATATATATATACACACACACACACACACACACACACGGTATGTATACTACATATGGGATGTTTTGGCATTTATTACACTGTAAACACTGGCGCAATAATATAATCAGCCCTTTAGAATCAGATGGGCTAGATGCTGCACCAGTTCCATCAAGAAGGCCTTTGCCTTGCTCTTGACTCGAAGGAGTGCAGGATCCAAGCCTATTTCAACGTTATCATTTCATCAAGAAATGATTCCGCTAGTATATTATGACTTCTCTAAAGCAAGGAAGTGCATTTGATCAAGCTTTAGCTTTATGTTAAAGCACTATATGCATAAAATGGAGACTACAACAAACCGGCAGGGTTTGTCCTAAGGATTAAGAAACACATCAGTCAAAGTTCAAAGCCTTTCAAAAATAAATTATTACTTAGTTTGCACATTAATGCTCATTCATTTCTGAGAAAGATATTCAGGAATTTTGCCTATCAGATGTACACTTTGCCATTATTGAACATTTCAAATGGCTGAATGGCAGCCAAATTTCAGTGCTATTGCTTAGCATTTTCACATTTATTTCAGTTGCTTAGTTAACAGAACGACTCTAGACTGTTCCCCTTAAGGGCATTTCTCCGTTACATTTCTTACTGAGTTTACTTGTTCATGTACAACCTACCAGCTGTGCTCACTCATATTAAATCACATGGTTTTAACCATGGTTTATTAAATAAAAACCAGGCCAGAATAAAGATTGCATGTGAAAAAAAGGCAATCTTATGACTTCTTTGGCAATTTCTTATTTGCTTTTCCTCCTTTATGTGTTAGCTTCTTTGGATTGATTGCTAAGCCTCTGTTTTAATCAGTATGACAACAACAAACATTTTCCGGATGTCACTCCTGTTCTAATAATCATTAGAATCAGTTCTAATTATTTAGAAACTACCCAGTGTTATAGCTAAGAATTCCTAAAGACACCTAATGATATCTAATGGTTGCATTGTGACTTAAAAGTGAAAACTTGCTATTTGTCAAATGGATATCAATTTATCTTGGCTGAGAACATTTAAGACTAATCCTAAGGTTTAATATGCAAGGACATACTTAGCAATGACTGATTTTGCTTACTACATACCCCAAGATATTAACACTGGGTGGACAACATGCTAGCTGGGTTAATTATATAGCCATAATCTAAGGTTTGAGCAGGCATTACAAGGGAAAAGTTGTTTTGTTGTTTTTATGATGAATTATATAGGACTCAATCTGAAACTTGTTCTTGGGTTATCCATGGATAAAAGTTGCCTTCTAGAGTGACGTCTGCTAACACTCCACTGCTCAGTGATTGCTGTAGTTAAGAGGCTCTGTTCATCTTTTGATTTGCATATTTGCATGCAAGGAAACTAATTTTCTCTCATTTTTGGTAGCACAGAAGGGAAGGAAATGAAAGGACCACTCCACTGGGGTAGGCAGACTCTTTTGGAAGCTCCAGCTGAGAGAGGGGCAAAGGATTCTAACCAGGTTCTAGAACAGTGGTTCTCAACCTTTCTAATGCCGCAACCCCATAATACAGTTCCCCATGTTGTGGTGACCCCCAACCCACTTATACATCACTGGGTGCCAGGGGCGTGGCCAAAGAAAAGGGGAAAAAAATGGCGGACAGCCTTGTTTGGCGACCCCCGTGAAATGGTCGTTTGACCCCAAATGGGATCCCGACCCACAGGTTGAGAACCACTGTTCTAGAATCTAGTTCTTCCTGTATCTCTCCTGTTATCCCAGAGTACCTTCTAGAACAGTTTTTGCTGAAGTAGGTAAATTTAGCAAAATATTCCTCCTCCAGTAAAGCTAACTTTGGATGAATTACACTTGTCTGGAAAAAAAAAATACATCTACTCACCGAAATGGACATTCAGCTGAGTGCATATATATATATAATTTATTCCAGACTGATAGCCTCACAGGTGTTTTGAATACAAATGATGTAAGCACCTTTCTAAAAAAACATTCTTATCTGGAAATAAGTTGCTTCTTTTAACAGAAGGGGCTTCCAGGAAAACCTTCTTCTTTGCAACAGATGAGTTAAAAATGCTGAAACACCCCCCACCACCACCATCACCTAAGATTCTATATTAGTCCAATTAATATTGGTTGATTTCCCCAATTATCTTAAAACCAAGTCCAGCTTAATGTAGAACTAGGGAGTTTGGTTGAATGAATTTTGGAGAATCCAGTTTTATAATGGCAAGCTTGGCTTTTGTGCAATAAGTTAGAGAAAAAGTAGAATCACCAGTGCAAATTCTTGGACACACAAAGCTTCAGTCAGAAACAGAGGCCAATCACCCGTGTTAATAACAGGATAATATCATGAGGGGATAATGGAACTCATGATTACATGTTTTTTTAATACAATGTGTCCTATTAATTTCAAAAGCCTCTCGTGATCCAGGAGAAACAGCCTAACTAAGACTACCCATTGTTTTAATGTTTAACAGAAATAAAAGTTCATGTGAGACAACCCGTAAATAAGCAGCATGACTGTGAAGAAACCCTACTTAGAATATGTTGTCTACCCAGCTTTTACTAACATACAGTGGGATGAATGATGTAATTGTATTTTTAATTCCAGTTCTGAGTAAGAAAGTTGCATTTTTCTTTGCAGGAATGTCTTCTATTTTATGATGCAGAATACTAATTTTTAATACTTACTTACTAGGCCTTTTTCCATGAGACTCAAGGCCAGTTTTTACTTCAACTACAAGGAATATTCATTCATATTACATCTCTCTAATTTCTTTCCTCTCTGACTGAAAAATGACCACATGTTCGTATAAGTAACGAAAGAGGGACCTAAAAGGCAAAGAATCATTCTTTCTCTTTGTCAAGCAGCAGAAAGAAGAGAAAAATTTACGATGAAAAGCAAATGATTTGAGTTTCAGGTCAGGTCAACCTTCTCTAACATGGTGTTTTCCAAAGATACACTGAACAAAGGTTGAACTGGTGGGGAGGACTGGAACAGAAGTTCCAGCAAAACTCCAGAAGGCCAGGTTAGAGAACACCAAGCTTGTCTAACAAGGAGTTCTTCCGTAGGGGGAAAAAAACTAATATTGGATTTTATTTTATGGATATTTTTTCTAGAAAAAAAAAGTTTACATAACACACATAAAACCATGGCACTCTTAACCAGTAATACTAATAATATTTTGCAACTGTATCTGGTGGCAAACAGAAGCTATTGCATGACTTACATTACAAAAAAAAAGAATAGAAATTGGCATAACGTTCTTTTTTTTAAAAAAATGAAAATATTTTAAGAAACTTTACCCTATCTACTGTCTGTCTTTTTTTTTTTTTAGATAAATCAGCAGGATCCCAATTTATCTCCATCTCAACTTTTAGGAGGCAACTGAATTAGCAATATGCCCTTCTTCAGAACCATTAGTATATTTTAGTCACAGTTTAAGTAGCTGTCAATCAGCATGTGCAGTAAAAATACAGCCATAGCACCATCATTACAAATTTAGGACCACCTGCTGGTTAGCAATAATCTTGATATGTTTATGGCTAATTAGGATACATTGTAGTGCTTTGAAAAATTGCCTGAATATCCTTTACAAATATACACCTATAAAAAAAGTTATCAAAATGGCTGTCATTTTAGACAGCAAAATCTCAGGTTAGAAAAGTTATTAAAACACTAAGAGCTAAAGGTTAAAAAAAAGAAGCCTCACATTTACACGTTTCCCATAGGCACTCTATAAAAACTATGATGTGATCTTATTTCACAGCAGTTAAAAGACATCTTGAAAATGTTGCCCATTTGCTTATTTTTAGATAGTACAAAGCAACACAAATGATTTATTAACCAGAAGTGTCATACTTAAGAAAATCTTTTGTCTAAATTATATCCATCCTCCTTTTAAATTGTTTATTTTTTTTCTCTCCTCTTTCTTAAAACTAACACTGTTCCAATTTTGAGCATCATCCCATTAACTTTTTGGGACTCAGTTCCTTCTTCCCCAAAATCCGGTGCAGACTAGCTGACATGTAGTAAGGTTTTGCTGTAGATCCATCATTCCTTTCCAAGTCTTCACCTGGGTAGAAAGTGATCAGAAAGAGCCAAGGCAAAGAGCAGACATGCAGTCAAACCAAAACAAACGAGAGATTCAGAAGAAAGAGAGGAAAAGAATAATTAGAATTCCTGTAACGGTAGAGTTGCATTTCAGTATGATGCTATTTCAGACTATCACAAAGCCATTCATATGCACAATTTCAGATCAATATCACCTAGGTCATAACTAAGCTACATTAAGCCATCCCGTGATCCATATTTTTTGCCCATGCAACAGGTTAACTTGAAGTTAAATAATTAACTTATGCTTGGTGATGAAGCACAGAACATACCAATGCTGTATTCCACAATAGTCTTGGACAGGGGTGGTTGGGGGGGAGGGGAGAGCGTAATTGTAAGTCAACTGCAATTATAAGATGACATGTTGACAGTTGAATGATTCTTTTGAAATAAAATAGATTCTGGTGACACGGAAAACTAGAAGACTAGGACTACTATAAGTCACATAAAGGTCAAGTTTGCAAGTGGTTGATTCACAACCAAAAGATGGAGAGAGACGAAGATGGGAACATAATTATTTATTGCACACTGGATCATTTTTCTAGACTTCTGTCTTTAGTGCTTTCTCAATAGCAAGTGGGATTTCCATGATTAGGATGCTCAAAGACAATTTTCATCTTTATAATTGCATAAGGATGGCTAAACTTATTTGCATACAGAGCACAGTGGGAGCAGTTACTAATTCATGCTCCCTTGTAAAATATATTCCAGTTCTTTTAAAGTCAACCTAGTTGGAGAAGAGGAATCATGTTACTTTAAATCCAACCAACACAGCTGTCATGATTAAAACAGCAAAGATGTTATTAGCAAGAACACATAACACTCATCTACTGCAATGCTGCTGGACAAAATGAAGCTATAAAATACTTAGTAGTTAGTAATTATTATGGAGTAGTTTCTCAAAAAAGCCATGGTGGTAATTAGCAATAGTAAGAGTTCACTAGCTGATTAATAAAATCATATCTGACATGCAATAAAAATTTCAGTTGAGTAAACTGTGCAAGAGAAGCAAGAAACAGATCCCTCCAACATATTCATGAATTCTGTTAGGAAGTTGAATTACCAGTCCTTTATCTGAGCATAACTGAAAGAGGAAATAAATCACAAAAGGCTGATGACTTACAAAAACAGAGGAAAAGTGTGTCAACACACATTGCATAGACACTGAAGAATCCATGTGCAACCAGATAAGACCCTATAATGACAGTCTGGAAAAGAAGAAAACCATGTTAAATTTACATTATCAGGATAGTTTTTCTAAAGATATCCCTGACTCTGAAGTTGGAAAGTAATAGTGATTCCCCAGTCCCCTTCCCCACTACCAACAGATTTTCTAGAACTGGTGCAGTGGACAAGGCTATTAATAGCAAAGTACAATGTTATTAATAGCTTTTTGAATGGGAAACAGTAGTTTCAGGTTACATCTTCCTTTAATGTTACACTAACCCACTGCTTGAACTATGCTGGCAATCCATTACTTCTTCTCTCTTGCCAAACTTTTCTTTAAAGGCACATTATATAGTTGGGGCTTCCTTTCTTTTTAAAAAATCCAAAGAGAAGTGCAGAAGAGCAAGGCAGATAGAGGAAAGCAAACAACCACCTCCATATGTTTTGGTTCCAACGTCCATCAACCCTACCCAATATAAAAGTAGCAAGTAAATCTCTAAGATGTAATCTAAACTATCTGAAGAAGACCATGCTACCTGCTTAAAATATGAATTGGGATCCAAGTATCAATCTCAAGTCAAACATGACCCTCCCCATGCCTGCAATTCTTATTGCCAGAATGTGAATCAGAGCTATCCTGTGGCAACTGAGATAGTACTACAGCTACAGACACTTTCCCCTGAGTGTATCTGAGCAGCAGTGAGCAAAGATTTTTAAATAAATCAGAATCAAAACAAATCAAGGTGTGGGATTGCTTGTTTTGTTGGCGGTGGGGTAGGGGAAGAGGCAAGATCCCAATTGAGAATCCATCCCATGATCTTTCCATGCCAAAAGCCAACCTCAAGCTTGGACGTTTAATTCTTCATTTGAACTTACCAAGAGGGGGACCCAATAATAATTCAGTGAAGGTGCTTCTTGTGCAAATACTGGTATCCTGTGTGTGAAGAAAAAGAAGGCCAAGACACCTGCAGGAAAAACACATACACACAGTATTAGCTACAATGTGGCTTAGTTGGGGTTTCAAATCTCTTATCTCTCATGTTTTGAAACAAACAATATAGTTTGCAATAGAAAATTCCATGTCTGGGAATATACACAAATGTATAAATGACTTATTTATAAAAGAGCCATAACGTTGCGGTTGTTAGGATGCAGTATTGCAAACTAATTCTGCTGACTGCCAGCCGTTCGAATCTCACCAGCTCAAGGTTGACTCAGCCTTCCATCCTTCTCAGGTCAGTAAAATGAGGACCCAGATTGTTGGGGGCCATAGGCTGACTCAGTAAACCACTTAGGGAAGGCTGTAAAGCACTGTGAAGCAGTATATAAGTCTAAGTGCTACTGTTATTCAACTATTCACCTCCAAGCCATTTAGGCATCTCCATTTAAACATACATGCATTTTCACAAACAGGGCCCTTGAGAGTTTTGTAACATAATTTTCCAAACAATAAATCCTTACATTAATCATTCTTGGTATTTGTAATGGTCTAAAAATGGGCATTCCAATTAATTATCTGTGAATAATTCATGCAACCAGAAGATTTTAATCTATTTTATCATTCCTTCAGTCTCTTTTAATAACATGTGCAGTTAGCAAAACAGAAAAGAAACCCAAACTTGATTTTAAAAAAGCTTAGCTAGTTTATGTCTTGGAGAATCATTTAATTATTTGCCATTAATCTTATTTGGTATGTTTGGTGATAAATTGAGATACCAATTTAGAATAACATCTATGCTAAGCAGGAAGGAGAAAGTATGTAAATTAATTAGCCCCAGAAATTTATTCTTAAGCACAAGGAAAACATGAAGCAATTTCACTGTTAAATGCTTTCACTTCAGACAAATCTCATTTTTTTTCCAGTTATAAAATAATCTGCATAATATACATTATGCCCTTTCTTTTAATTCAGAACACTTATCTTTCGATCTGCTGTTGGAAAATATTATTACAGGTAGTCCTCGAATTATGATCACAGCTGAGCCCAAAATTTATGTTGCTAAAAGTGACAGTTGTTAACATGAATTTTGTCCCATCTTGCAACCTTTCTTGCTACAATTGTTAAATGAACCACTGCAGTTGTTAAGTTAGTAACACGGTTGTTAAGTGAATCTGGCTTCCCTATTGACTTTGCTTGTCAGAAAGTCACAAAAGGTGATCACATGACCCCAGGACAGTGCGACCGTCATAAATATGAGTCACTTGCCAAATATCTTAATTTTGATCACATGATCATGGGGATGCTGCAATGGTTGTTAAGTATGAAAAATGGTCATAAGTCACTTTTTTCAATGCCACTGTAACTTTGAGCGGTTACTAAACAACTGTTATAAGTCGAAGACTACACTTATTAGTCCTTTGCCATGCCTAGCTAATATTAGCTTCAGTCCGTGTGAAAACCTCTGCAAGGATGGTCCACCCTATCCTTGCACAATTGGGGTCAATTGTGGGCATAAGCAGTAGTGGGGTTCAAATATGTGAACAACTGGTTCTCTGTGTGGATGCCGCTTCCAGAAGTCCATTCAGGGCCCGGGCAACAAAAAATTAGCTACCGTTCTGCCGAAGTGGTACGAACCGGCTGAATCCCACCACTAGTCATAAGATGAATGCTACCTGTCCAGGGGCTTTATGTCAACAGTCAGCTCAACATGATCCAATGGCCTTAACAAAACTGAAAATAATGAATGAGAGTTAATTGATTAGAACTAATGTTGTAGTAATATATTAATCAGTGTTCAATTAGAGGGGGTAATACATGTATAATGTCTTCTTTTTATGCACCTTTTTAATGTTTTGATTATTTTGTATCTTTTTTCCTTTTGTCTTTTTTTTGAGTTCTATATTTTGTATTTTAACTTTGTTTTGAAATATATGTCTGTGTGTGTGAGAGAGAGAGGGGGGGGGGAATGAATTGACTCACCCACAGCTCCAGCAACAAGGATTTTACCCAGGAATAATAAGAAGTCTGTTACTTTATCCAGGACTGCAACCCTGTGCAAAAGAAAAGAAAACTGATATTAAGTTGTTTTTCACCCCCAAAGGCAGTATGGATCTGTTTCTAGCTGCTATACTAAGGTTACTTTGATAACTACTATTTCTATGTACCCAAGGATCTCATTTTAGAGAAAGATTTAAAACCGATATTAATTTCCTCAGAAAAGCAAATATTAGTATTTTAAATTATTGGGGAAGAAAGCAGATATTCCTTTATTTGCCGACTGCCAGTTATCTAAAAATTAATGTCCAAATTAACATGCTATACAAGCATTCTAATGAAAGTATTGATAATTTTATTGAGAAACAGTTTGTGTTTCAGATGAGAAAGCAAGTTTTTAATAGGTTGATTAGGGATTTAAGGTAAGCTTTAGCATTATATTTTGTAACTTTATAAAGGAGCAAATTCACTGTTATAGAAACACAGCAATGTAACGATGCTAAGAAAAAGACTCAGGCATGTCTTGGGCAGAGGTTTGAAGCTGCATGACACATCTTCACACAGCTTCTCCAACTCTGAGTTTATTGTTTCTTATATACTTTTTACATACATAGGCTTTACCATTAACTACTGACATTTTACATTTAGAAGTTTAACCTTTAGTTGTTGACATAAAGTAATTGAAAAATTCCTTCATATAAGCAATTATTTTCTAGTAACACATTACCTGTTGAGAGCAGGTAAAACAAATACAGGTAAATTAGAAAAGGAGAAAGAACTGATAAAGACAAGAAGAGATAAAGACAGGAAGAGATAAGGGGGAACTTATTATTTAGGTAGGTAAGATATTAAGTCAAAAGGGGGTGATCTTTTGGCTGCTTCCTTGGGACAAAGGGTATCAAAAGGTTATGAGGTTTGTGGGGGGCAATGCATGGCAGTTTGTTGCACGTGCAAATTCCTCCACACAGCAAATTAACAATGACCGGCACCAGGAGCTCAAGAGTAATTTGGCTTTGATGTGACACATCCAGGTTAAAATATATGCACACCATTAATGCTTAGGGAAAGGACTAGGAGAGAGCCCAGTCTCCCCAAATTCTGGGAAATCCATGGAAGAAAAGGGTGATATATTTTCACCAGGCTGCCTGTGATGAAGAGTCCAGATCATAACCTTGGACCCAACGTTCTTTCTAGTGCCATCTCGGCCAGCAACAATTTTCCATGAGGTCAGGGTAGAATTTAACTACTTTAAGTATCTCTTCAGATGAACATGTGATGGGATTATACCAGGCCAGGTGTGTCCAATCTTTTGGTTTGCCTGGGCCGCACTGAGTGAAGAGGAATTGTTTTGGGCCGCACATGAGATATATAAAAATAGTCTGTCTGTCTGTCTATGTGTGTGTGAGAGAGAGGGGGGGAGGGAGGGAGGGAGGGAGGGAGAGAATAATGCTAAAAGTTTACAATCTTGTGGGGGCCGCAATACTAGCTATCCAGGGCTGCACGCAGCCCAAGGGATGTGAGTTGGACATGCCTGCACCAGGCAATGGACAGGACTGAGCATATAGTTTTGTTCTATATTCTTTTGGATTTCCATGAATAAAGCTAGAAGTGGAGAAGAACTGTACAGACGGCCCTTGACTTATGACCACAATTGAGCCCAAACTTTCTGTTGCTGAGACATTTGTCAAGTGAGTTTTGCCTCATTTTATGGCCTTTCTTGCCACCGTTGTTAAGTGACTCACTGCAGTCATTAAGTTGGTAACACCGTTGTTAAGTGAATCTGGCTTCCCTATTGACTTTGCTTGTCGGAAGGTCATAAACACTGCAACCCTCGTAAATATGAACCAGTTGGGGATGCTGCATAGGTCATAACTTTGAAAAGTGGTCCTAAGTCACATTTTTCAGTGCCATTGTAACTTTGAATGGTCACCAAATAAACTGTGATAAGTTGAGGACCACCTGTATTTAGAGCTGCTAGAAGCTGAATATAGCTCTCTACACCAGTGGTTCTCAACCTGTGGGTCGGGACCCCATTTGGGGTCAAACGACCATTTCACGGGGGTCGCCAAACAACGCAGTCCGCCATTTTTTCCCCCTTTTCCTTAGCTGTGCTACTCCCTTTTATTCTATTGGCTTTTGAAAGCCAATAGAATAGACTCTCTTGAATATAGTCTAATTCTATTGGCTTTCAAAAGCCAGTAGGAATTGTCCAGGCTGTCTCTGCCCCGCTGAGCCCGCCAAAAGTCCCATTCTGCAAACAGTGCTGCAGCAGTTGAATAGTCCTCAACTTACGACCGGTTGAGTAGTCCTCGACCTACGACCAGTTGGGGGTCGCGGCATTAAAAAGGTTGAGAACCACTGCTCTACACCATTAAATCATGTCCCAGCGTCCAAATGGGATGCTGTGCTGATGAGACATGTTTTATGTTTGCATTCTTTATCCTGTTGGAAATTCTTAGTACAAAACTCTTGATCTGGGAATACCATACGTTTATTTGTTCATTCTGTCTCTACCTTTCTTCTTCTACCTGTTACAGAAACCTCCACCCCCATGGCAATGTTCTATTGATAGCAGAACTGGCCAAGAAGGTAAAAACTGAAAACGTCTTGGTTTAATGCTTTTATTAATATTCACTTGATGGGCAGCGCGTACACTTAAATAAAATAAATATAACATTTTTCAGATTAACTCAAATAAACATATGCTAGGTGTATTAACTATATTCTTTGTGAATCTAGAACAAACTTGTTCGCAGCATTAGTCCATGCTTTAAAGTTTCTATCTCCACAATTGTGTGAAACAATTTAAAATGTGATCTAGCCTTTAAATGCGACCTGTTCCTAAACTGGAATTCTCCAGAAGCATTGCTTATGCAACCCCAAGAATTTATGGACAGGACAGCATCCTGGAATTAATGGCTCAAAATATCTAGAGGACATCAGTCTCAGACAAATGGGAATAATATGAATATTTAAAAATTAACCGAGCACATTTTTAGTGAGGGCAAATATATGGAGCATTATGGGATTATGCATCCTTACCTCACCACATTTCTCATGAGGAGAAAGAACGCATCTCTTGCTGAGGTGCAGAAGTTTTTACCATAGATTGCAATCTGCAGAATAGTAATAGCTGTTAACATATATTAAAGTCGTCTGACATCTACTATGGACTAGATATTAAAGTATGTTTTAGTATGCAGAAAAAAAATATAAACATTTCAATCCAGAAATAGTTTAAATACTAGGGTTTAAACCATCATATTAAAAAATTGGAAAATTGGATTTGCCACAACAATTATAGTTTGCTACACTTTGGGTAAAAGTGTACTGGAAAAGGAGAGAGTGAAAAAGAAAACATACCATGATGTAAGCATTCCTGTTTATAAATTTAAGGAATTTTTCCAAGCACCAAAAACAGCATTTGAGGCAGCAAAGCAAGAACTTAGCAAATGCATTTTGTGAGCCTGCATGAAAGAGAGAAAACATTTCTTAACAATTACAAAATGCCAGGATGATGCCATGTAGAAGATTTTATACTGTGCATGAGAACTGGAGATGAAAAATACCAAGGGTTCAATAAAGCTTTAAATATTTTGTCTCATTGCTTAAACAAACTTGGGAAGCAGAATTTTCCCAATCATGGCTTGTTGTAAAGCACAGTTTCCCAAAGTCCCTTGCATGGAAACACTGGAGAAAGATATATAAGCCAATCATGGTTTAGGCATACTAGTGTTCACAATCTGAAAAAGCAAAATCTTATTCCATGAAACTCACCCTTAAGTTTGTGATCAAGATATTCCAGGATTACTCTAATTAGTTGAACCACTGCAAGAATTAAGGAGCCAAACGCTAAAGAACCTGTATGATACCTAAAGGGGGGGGGGAAATCAAATGTTATTCTTCTTCCTGAATGTGTTACTACACATTGTACAGTTACAAAAAGAGTTAATATGGCTGATAAAAATTCTACTATGTAGCATAATGGGATATAACATGTATTCACCATGTATTCTACTATGTAGCATAATGGGATATAACATGTATTCACGGGGGAGAAGATTTCTTCCTCCCATATTTGGGCCAACAGGGTGCATCAAAAAAACACTCAAGGTAAATCTCCTCTCCCAGTCTCTTCCCTCCCTGATACAGCTGACAAAGTGAGAAAGAGCCTGTGGCCTAGAAGTTAATACAACTGCCTAACATGCACACAGCCCAGGTTCGAATCTCAGAAGGATATGTCTGGCTGAAGAGAGTTAAGAAGCTCGAAATAGCTATTCCAGTTCTCCCTTTATTCTTTGTTAGCAATCCAAAAAATTTAGGAAACACAAATGATGTCGCAGTAGTGACTGCTGCCTGTGGATGGCTCTAGATTGAGCTAATAAAGGCAAAAGATTTCTTCCTCCCATATTTGAGCCGACAGGGTGCATCAAAAAAACACTCAAGGTATATATATGTATATATATATAAAATAGAATTTGTAGTTCTAATTTACTGCCACTGCTAGGGCCAAAGGGAAGTTACAGCTATGTTTAAAATATACTTGTGTGAAACACACGACACAGAAGATAGAGATAAACCGAATTCAAGCACCTATGTAATTTCTTACTTACCGTATTGCTCGTCCAAATGAAGAAAAGAGTGGGCAGGGTGGGATGTCAGCAGGTTTTCGGAAGGCCCAATAGTAAGAAGCAAAGGCACCGGCAAGGGTACATTGACCCAATGCGATTGAAAAATTGACCAGCCAGAGAAAGACAAACACATTGATAATTTGAAACACTAAGATGTAGCGGTGGTATAGACTTTCTCCCCCATAGAAAGCAAATGTGCACTGTGCCCCTGGGCATAGTTTGGTCACATTGGTTGTGTTGAAAGTCTGTTCAGGAACAAAAGAAAAAAACATCAACTGGAGATACGAAATGATTTCAATGTAATCTAAAACTGTGAATCTTTCCAATGTTAGGCGAATGGGTAGAGAACAAAAGAGGGCAGTGTTCAGCTAATGATTGCATACTGTACTGTAAGTATTAAGGATACTCATCTATTTAAAATTTGGGATAGTGAAATAACGGTGTATTGTGTAACATATTATAAAAACAGCTTGAGATAGCCTGTATAAGCACAATCAAAATACTAGATCTGATATTTGTATAAAAGAAACTCCGGAACTTCTGCATGAGATGGAAATTTTGCTTTAGCAAAATTCAAGATGTTACTATGTTAAAAAAAAATCTCAACTGGTAATGAATTCATATGGCAAATAATTCTTACAAACCATTCTCAATGCCTCATTTTAAGCAGTACTGTGTCTGTGTAGATGCTTCACAGGCTTCAGTAAATTTCTAGTGCTTTTAACAGTTTCAGAAAACTGTTAACAAAGTTAATCAAACAACCAATAATTCAATCTTATGTTTGGTCAATGCAAGCCTCTCTGCACTAAATGCTATACCCACTTATGATTATAGTAGACTAAACAAATTCATTTGTATAAATTTGTCAGAAGAAATGTGGGGAATTTAAAGCATAGGGCATTATGAAAGCATAGGTCACATTAACTAATGAAGAACTAAAACGTACATGGGTTTCTTTTACCCATTTGCTTACCTCTGGATAACAGGTCAAATTTGCATACTTGCATAAGCTTTGATTAGCCATAACTTTGTACACAGGTTCTCCTGAGGTAGCCAGGAAACTTGATTTAATTGGGTTAAGAACAAATAGAATCAGATAGTCACAGTATGTAATGTTCTATCAAGAGAAAGGGTCACAAAGAATACATTTGATTTCCTTTGCTTTTTAATGACTAGCACAAGATATGATAACTATAGCATGTGTGCATTTTCTAAAAACCTATTTGCCTGTTCTGCAAGTAATTAATGCACTCTTTTACTTAATAACAAGGGCATCTTTGCTGGTAATTTTGGGCATCAGGTGAAAAAGGAAATAGTGTAGCTCAAAGAATACATACACAGTAGAGATACTGTGGTGAAATATACTGAGAAAGTTCAGAAAAATAAAATAAAATTACATTTCAACAAGTTAAAAAAATAAGCCATCTAATAGCCAAGACACTTCTACCCAAATGTAAAAAGGTCACAACAGTGCAAAACTTGCATTTTATGTAAGGATTTCACCAACAATTAATCAGTGAGAAGTTCTGGGAGCATGTAAATAAGTAATTAAGAAACCACTGAAGAACACAAGATATTCGTGTGCATAGTGAATTTTGTAAGGGTCTCTTCATTTATTTATTTGAACAAATCAAGTGTTCTCAAACTGCAATTCTGATGGCAAAAAAATTATCACATGATACTTGACTCAGTTAAGTGTAAGAAATTGAAATAGAGATTTCTTCTTATGCAAAATGTAGCTTCTTCTGAAGGTGGTTAAGATGCTTGTTTCTTTCATGGCTTAGCAAAGAACTATGATAAATTGGATAGATTTAAATTATGAAAATTTTGCATAAGCATGGATTGAATACATTAAGAGCACACTCTAGTCCAGTGATGGCGAACCTTTTAGAGACCAAGTGCCCAAACTGCAACCCAAATCCACTTATGTATCATTGGGTGCTGGGTGGGCATGGCCGATTGGGTAGGCATGGCCGATTGGGTGGGCGTGGCTTCAGTGGTAACAGCAGACTGGGTGAGACTAAAAAGTTCAATCAATTCCAACTTTGCGAGATCTTTTTTTTCTCGCCAGAAGTTGAAATTGATTGATTGATTGAACCTTTTTTTTTGCACACGGCGGCAGAGGCCTAAAGTGAAAAGGTTTTATAAAAGCCAGATGAAAGCCTAATTCTGGGGTGATGGCGCGCGTGCCCACAGAGAGGGCTCTGTGTGTCACTTGTGGCACCCGTGCCACAGGTTCACCACCATGGCTAAAGGATGCCATAGAATAAATGGAATGTTTAACAAACTGTTAATATTGAGCAGGGGAATAACAAGCTTATATGATTTCTGCTTGATTCTTTAATGCATTTAGGGATTAGTCTATAAGCAAAGCTTGTTAAAAATGTGTTGGTTAGGAAGGTGAATACATCTATAATTTGTATGCATATTCTTGACGGAGCATGTAAATGATTTCCAGCAAATGCAACAAATGATACGGATGTGAATAATATTGAATTAATCACCAAAGCACTTAATTCTGACAGGGAGATTGTGATGAACGATTGCAAGTTATAGATGAACTCCAAAAAAACGAGCGTATATGAATTTGTGTATTCTTGACAAAATGCTTACTACAATGGAAAGATTTTGACATGTGTAAATGATGGTGAAAAGTAATGGTATTGCGTAATCTTTCCGCAAAGAAAGATTATTGAAAGAACTGTGTAATAGCATGCTTCTACCCACTATGTTATATGTTACTGAGAGTATGTTAGACTAAGTTGAATGCAGTGGGAATGGCTTAAAAAATGTTTGTAGGAGCAAAAGAAAAAAAAATAAATGAGTGAAGAATACAAAAATGGATTGAATACAAGAATGAAAATATGAAAAGAAGCATGGAAGAAGAATGTTGGTGTGGTCACAGAGAAGAATTAATTAGGACTGATGCGGTGGAATCATCGACTAAAGGAGAGGAAGAAGTTAAAAGACATGTCAGTATGGAGGAAACATCATAAACCAGACTAGTGAAACCTTATCTGCTAGTTCCCAAGGGAATGCAGCCAGTCTGGTGAGATTCTTGTAATATAAGTGAACAACAAAAAAGAAACTGTGGTGGCTTAGTCATGAAGTTAATCTGGTACCTTGCACCTGACAATTGAATTACCAATATCTGAAAGAAGAAATAATGGATCTAGAGAAAGAGTAGAATACGAAAGTTGTAATGGAATAGCATTAAAAAGATTTGCAAAAAGAAAGAGATGGCAAGCCTACAGACTAAAGGTAGAGTACCATAGTCCTTGACTTACAACAGTTCATTTAGTGACCTTTCAAAGTTACAATGGTGCTGAAAGAAGAGATTTGTGATCATTTTTCACACTTTCGACCGTTGCAGCATCCCCATGGTCATGTAATCAACATTCAGATGCTTGGCAACTGACTCATAACTGTTGCGATGTCCCAAGATCACTTTTTGCGACCTTTTACAAGCAAAGTCAATGGGGAAGCCAGATTCACTTAACAACCGTCACTTACTAACCTATCAACTGCAGTGATTCACTTAACAACTGTGGCAAGAAAGGTCATAAAATGGAGGAAAACTCACTTAACAAATGTCTCACTTAGCAACAGAAATGTTGGGGCTCAGCTATGGTTGTAAACTGAGGACTACCTGTAATATAAAAATTCACAAGGCTAGTTTGCTAGGGAAGAAGAGTATGGAAAGGTATACAGATAGTCCTCAACTTACAACCCTCCTTTTAGTGACCATTCAAAGTTACACCAATACCAAAAATTGAAGTATGACCTGTCCTTGCACTTACTACAGCATTCTCATGGTCACATGATCAAAATCCAGGCAATCACGACAGTTGCAATATCCCAAGGTCATGTGATCACCATTTGCAACCTTTACAACTGGCTTCTAGCATGATTCACCTAATAACTGCTTAACAGCTGTGCCAAAAAGGTCATAAAATTGGGCATGACTCATTTAATAACTGCCTTGCTTAGCAAGGCAAATTCTGATCCTAATTGTGGCGATAAGTTGAGGACTACCTGTAGTACATCGTGTTGTATAACATTTAGCAATTTTTCCTTTTTCTTCCTCAATCCTTCCTAGAAAATTACTGTTTATTACTCTTTTCTGGATTCCACATAATGTTCCTAAAGGAAATAGTGTGATGAATACATGCACATACATGCCAATAAACTGCTCACCTGGAGATGTGAAAATAACCTGTAATCACTTACTCCTTGATAGAAAGGATACACAGCTGTCACTGCCCAGTATGAAATGCAGATGGCGATTAGAATAAAGGTTATAATTGGATAGAATAATGTAGACATGATGTAGCCAATTGCCCTAAATAAATAAATAGATAAAGTTATTCAATTTATCAGAGGTCATGCTGAGAAACAATGGATTTTTATATTCAGCATACCAGATTTCCACTGTGATTTCTACTTCTGGTGTAATTTTTATTATGCAAATATGTGTAGCATATGTCATCATAAAATGGATGTAAATTCCCATAATATTTCTTTACATTTTAAAATTCTTATTTTTGCCTATGCATGTGAAAAGTTCACATGACAACTAATGCTTATTTTTTTTAATTTCCAATGCCTTTATTATACAAGCTGTATAAAAGTGGGGTTTTATTTCATTTTTTCCCAGGTTCTACCTGTTCATCAACTCTTCATTTGTATTTTGTACTGTCCTTTAATATTTGTTTTATTCATATTTTTATTTAGTATCTTTCACAAGAAGGTATGTTTCTCCTCCCCCCATGCTATAATTTTTGGTATCAGTTTCAAAAATCATTTTTAAACCCAGTTGCAACTTCTATCCAGTGCCCATAAAAGTTCATCCATCATAGTTCTTAGCAGATGTACACTTGAAACTGACATACTTATTTCCCTTAGCTTCTTTATACTATGGGACCCCAGAAATAAGAACTGTGGTTCTTCAATATAATCAGTTTTGAATACTGAAAATTGTACTTGAGGAACACTTGGAAGCTGGATAGCCATTTCATGCCTACTGTATCCCACAGATTAATAAAGTTCAGAATTTTCTTTGTTGGATTTACAAATACAACAAGACATATTAAATTATTGTTACCAATTGTTGGAATTCACTGTTGGAATGTATCTCTGTGCAACTACAGTAGTATTCAACCAGTAGATGGCAGTATTTACAAATTTGGATCTATGGAATATACTTTATGCTCTTTTGTTCTAAGTAGAGTTTCCTCTTAGGGTATTATAGTTGAGCAGTAAAGCACATGGTGACTGTACCTTTGTTTGTTCTATGTGATGCTTTATATAAACAGAATTTCTAACATCAATGAAGGGGAATTTTGCAAAGGGGAAGGAAATATTCAAACACAAGGACAAAATATTTAGGGGAAAAATGAAACTCAGTGAATCATTCAGCACCACCTATGAGTGTCATGGCAGAAGATCAGAAGCTAACCAGGAGTGGCATAGAGCGGTTAGCATCGACTGTTTCCTTGTAAGTAGGAAAAAGGTGAACAAGAATGGAGACTTTCTTTGGTCCACACATGGAGTAAAAAAAGTCAATTTTAAATAAAAGTCTACTATTTTCTTCTCCTTTTTAGCCAATCTCTTCTATGTAACATTTTATTGTTTTCTCTATTCTTTGTCAATATTTGTTTATTATTTCAATTTATATGGCATGCCTCGAGGGAGATAACAACCATTAAAAACATCATAAAACAATACACACAATCAGCAGCTGGCTGAGGAATTCTGGGAGTTGAAGTCTACAAGTCATAAAAGAGCCAAGTTTGAAGACCCCTGATGTAGAACTACAACCAATAAATTAATATAGCCATTGCACCGGCTCTGCCACACCTCTGGATCCCTAAGTCTGGTAACAAAATCATGCTTTTAAGTTCTTGTGAACAGCCAGTAGACTCAGGGCTAATCTCAACTCTGGAGGGAGATGTTTTAAAGGTCATGTGGCGTGACATAAAAAGATTCTCTGTCTGATGACATTTTAAAATAGGCAGAAGAGAATAATGGGTCAGGTAGATATAATCGGGGAGAGTTTATCCAGTCCCTCACATAAGCCATCTCCATGTAATGGAGCAATTTATAGGTCATTACCAGCACCTTGAATTAAACCTAGAAACGTAATGGCAACCAAAGCAGCTTGCAGAGCAGAAGTATAATGTGTACTGGTCAAGCAGCACATGTAACGGTCTATACCACTGTACGAGCTGTAGCTTCCAGATATTCTTCAAGGGCAGCTGCACATAAGACACACTGAAATAGTCCATTCAGAAGTGACATCAGTGTGTGTGAACAGAGCATTCTAGTCCACTGGCAAAGCCCCCTGGCAGGCCGGCGACAGTGAGGGCTCTCTTACACAGAAGATATGGGCCTATTTACCCTGCTCCAGGCAGGAGCAGCACAGCCAGGAGGGCAAAGAGCCCCGTGAGGCCCGAAGAGTGCTAGGTTCAGCCCTTAGCCTAGCACCTGCAGCACTGAGTAGGCATGCAAGCTGGCGCTCAGCAGCCCAAATGTGGAGGTGTGGGTGGTGCAGTTCCACTGCTGGCCGCTGGCGAAGGGCTCTGGCAGGCCGGCGGTGGGGCAGCACTTTGGATCTGAGCCGACTTGCCCCTCACCAGGCTTGGCAACCTTTCCGCCAGTACCCACCATGGCTGCACCGGTACTGTACCTGGTCTGCCACCACGTTCTCGCCATGTTGCTTCTCCATCCCATGCACAGGCCCCACCCCATCCCCATGCGCTCATGTTCTACTGGTACAGATACTGGCAAAAAGTAAGCCCTCCCTGAAAGTAAAACCTAGTCCTCACTTCAGAGCCCAAAAGAAAGTAAGACTGGGTCTTACTTTCGGGGAAACACGAATGGATGGATGCATTTATTTATGTATTTGAAATATTTATGTAGCCACACATCTCATATCTAACTCTGGGTTGTCTTCAACCATTGATTAAAACAATATCAATAAAAAGACAACATAGTACATGAAGAGCCAAGGTGGCGCAGCAGTTAGAGTGCAGTACTGCAGGCCACTTTAGCTGACTGTGTTCAGCAGGTCAGTGGTTCAAATCTCACCCGCTCAAGGTTGACTCAGCCTTCCATCCTTCCGAGGTAGGTAAAATGAGGACCCAGATTGTTGAGGGTAATGTAAATATATATATACATTGCTTACTGGTGTACACCGCTTAGAGAGTGCTTGCACTTAAAGCGGTATATAAGTCTCATAAATAAATAAATAAATATACTTTCATATATTTATTAAAACTTCATATATTAAACCTGGTACCAAAGGTAAGCTTCCACATGCTGTCTATCATTAAATCTTTTTGTCCTTTTCACCCTATCTCAGTTTGGTAATTACTTGGTAATGTTATGAAACCTGACTTTCTTCTCTACATGAACATACGTTTTATATAATTACCATTTCAATTTTTGTAAGCCTTCCCTAATGCGGGCAATATACTCTGCACATGTTTATAATTATTTCACATAATTCAAATAAGAGCTAAAACTTAAATTAATCCTTGCATTAAACATTAGTTCTACATGGACAATTAATGTATTGTGCTAGAAACATCTTGACTGTTTTTTTTCAGTCACTGAAGCTTATGCTATTCAAGAAATAATTACTACAAATCAGTGTATTTCAGAATTTAATAATAGGTAGGCCTTATTGAAATCATAACTGTTTATAATAATAAACTGCTTGTTAAATTCTAGGAATAGATCGTAACTGATTTATTGCTAGTATAAACTGCTATCTCACTGAAGAGATGATTAAGCTAAACTTGAAAAAAATTACTTAGCTTTCAGTCATTAACTGCATATTTTTCAAGATCTTGATTAGGGGTTACATTCTGTTGGGTTCACAATGAAGTGCAACATTTCTTTTGATGAATGCATCAAAAGGTATCATATTTATGCACTTTCCAATGCAGAAATATTGGACAGTATTTCTGTGATATTTAATGATCTTTAATGGAATATACACTCACTATAATGAACTCTTATTTTTTCACTACAAGTTTATGAACATTTCTGCACACATTCTTTTAACTGTACTGTTTACTTTGCTATGATGCTTCCAGGTGACCCCTGAAAAGTAGTTGAGTTTGATGACTACATGTACCTCACTACATATTTCACTTTCAACTTCCCCCAAAACAGCAACCCTGATTATTGGCTCTGTGAGGATTAACAGACTGAAACTCAGTGTATACAAGAGACAAGGCTGCTCTTTAGGGAGGAAAAAAACAAAGAATTTGAAAATGAAATACTTTTGCCCTTACATTTATTTTCAGTGTCATTTCAGACAAAATAACCAAACAAATGATGCTGACCAATCCTTCCGTAGAGATGCCAAATATACATTTTAATAAAAATATATAAATATTCTATGAAGTGGGTAATGTAATTCAGAGTTTTTGAAGCAGCAGGATCATATTCATTAATCAAGACTTGGCATTCTCGCAGAATAGCTCTCTTCACAATTAAGATAACCTACTTTGAAAGAGAATGTCAGGTCTCTTTCCTTCACTGTACAGTCTGACTGAATCTATGAACTAGAGCAAATAGCCTGATATCTTTCTGACAGGCTTCCAAGTTATCATGGCTTTTTGCCAACTCTGCATACAGTCATATTTTTATGCGGGCACTCAAACAGTTGTTCCGGGCTAGTTTCTGTCAGCTTTGTTGATGGGAAAAGTAGAGATCATTCTGTTCTCGAAGAAATGTTTCTCATAGGAAAGGGAAAAGGCTATAGATGGTCTGACTTTGGAAATGGAAATTAACACTGGCTAATTCAAAACTTAATGTTTAGATGGCTTTCTGGGGAATTGAAAATGGATGGACCAGTGTTAATTGCTAAAAATCTATTGCTAGTTCAGGGGAGTCATGTGGAGAATACGGCACAATCCAGACCATGTGCTGGGGAGCAGAAGAAGGAAAGCACCATAAGAATGTGTCAAAGCGGAAAACAGCTCTCAGTGGATCTGAACTTGATTTTACCAGCCTGAATAAGAAAAACCAGCTGTCAGCTGGGCAGATAGAAAAAAAATTGCCACCAATCTCTATAATCCATCCTTTAACTCTAAAATTAGGAAGTAAATAGGGTAAGGAATAGAGTATTCCATTATATATTTAGCTCACATTGTGATCTATAAATATTGAATGCTTAAAGTTGTTTTAGGCTGCAGAAAAAAAAATGTTCTTGCTTCACAATTAAAGCTGTTTAATCAGCTGAGGCTTGGGAAAAGGAAAAAAAAATTGCAATGGATTGCAGTGCAATCAGTTGCTTGCTTGCCAAGTAAAGCCAAAAAGTGAAATTGCACAAAATTCTCATTTTAGCATGTTTCTCAAAAATAATTCAAGTGGTATATTGCCCTGAATTTCTAGAAAAACCTAAACATCATATACTCTCCATTAATGTGTCCAGAATACTGCAAAAATGAGAATGTTAATAATACTTACCGGCTACCTTCTTTCAAAAGAGCAATTGCAATCCGAATTCGATTTCTCAGAAATATTAACATCAGTATAATGACAACTTCCACTATACAAAGTAGTATCACTGAAAACAACAAAAAGTAAACTTGTCAAAAAATAAGGCTGACTTAATCTCAAAACAACACATTACCAGTTAGAAGGGTTACTTTCAGTAGTCCCTTTCACAACTGCATCTTTTTCAGGATTCCAGTGGAATTAAATCTCAACATACCTAGATCAAGCCTAAGCTATTTTATACACACTAAAGCAAGTATTTCATCAAGACTGTACTCTCTCATCACAATGATATCTATGAGTTTTGTTTTGCATACCGCAAGCCTACTCGTCAATGACTATTACGGCATATCGTACAAAGAGATTGATGAAGAAAACCATTTTCGACGCAATGCATACTTTAAATATCATTTTAAATTTAACACTATTAATTTAAAGAAATATCTGTTTCAAATTACACAGTCCTTATTCATTGACTGCCTTTTGCTATTTTCGTTCATTGTATCTGGAGATGTTAAATATAATCAATACTTATATGTGTCTGATTTTGTTCTCTTATTTATTGTATCCCAGTGCTTATCATGATTATTCCTGGATAACAACTTTTTAATGAATAAAAGCAGCCTGAATTTCAGCTATTTTTTTTTAATGTACTGATATTTACTTGAATTCCAGTATGACTTTTGTCTAGATTCAGAAATTCTGCAAATGAGAAATAACACTAAAATCATATGTCTGTTTTGTTCCCAGAAAGCAAAGGAGTAAAAGTAACAGGAACAATCCACTTCATCACAGGCAAGAAAACTCACACTGAGTTTTATTGAACATAATAGGGATTATTTCTAAGTTTCAAGTTGGTTTTCATTTTAAGTCTTGATCCTGTTGGAATACAATACTACCAGAGCAGAAGAAAACAAGAGAGACTATACAATTTGATTTTGCCTGCAGGCTCAATGAAATAGAATACATGTAATGTCTTTTTAAGAAGCTTATTTATCTACATGGAGCAGTAAAATACTGTATTGTGTTTCAATGTGATTTATCCCACTTAACCTAGGATCTTCCCAGCCTATTCCCATGTCTCCTACCTGCATAGATGCAGCAATATGTGAACTCTGTTTCATCGTACATTCTCCAGTTCATATATTTTAAGAACAAGTCAGTAGCTTTGCTCAGTGGTGGGATTCAGCCAGTTCGCACCCGTTCGGTAGCTAATTTTTTTGTTGCCCGGGCCCTGAATGGACTTCCGGAAGCCACATCCACACAAAGAACTGGTTGTTCACATATTTGAATCCCACCACTGGCTTTGCTGCATCTTGCATAGCCTGGAAGCCTATTCCAGAGCAAAATCTACTACTCAGTGCCATGTAGATATGTCAGACCGCACATCCCATAATTTTCAGATGTCATGAACACACTCTTGATCAGTGGTTCTCAACCTTTTTAATGCCGCGACCCCCACCCGGTCGTAAGTCGAGGACTACTCAACCGGTCATAAGTCGAGGACTACTCAACTGGTGCAGCACTGTTTGCAGAATGGGACTTTTGGCGGCTCAGCAGGGCAGAGACAGCCTGGACAATTCCTATTGGCTTTTGAAAGCCAATAGAATTAGACTCTATTCAAGAGAGTCTATTCTATTGGCTTTCAAAAGCCAATAGGAAGGGAGTAGCACAGCTAAGGAAAAGGGGGAAAAAATGGCGGACTGCGTTGTTTGACGACCCTCGTGAAGTGGTTGTTCGACCCCAAATGGGGTCCCGACCCATAGGTTGAGAACCACTGCTCTAGATGATGCTGTGAGATCACCTGGGGATCATTTTGGGGTGCAATATTATTAGTATGCTGACAATAACAGATTTTATACACTTCCTTGCCCTGAACCAGAGACGACACTAACGTCCTAAGTGTTTGGAGGCTCCCAGGGTCTGGAGAGATCAGAATGATTTAAAGCTGAATCCAAGAAAGCAGAGGTCATGTTTGTTCAAAGGTTCTCTGTTGATTCTAGTGTTATCTCTTGATGAGCAAGTATTACTCCAAAAGAAGCAAGATTATCACTAGAAGGCCAGTCTGAACTCACAGCTCCTGCTAAAACAGCATGTAAAGTTGTAGCTAGAGAAGTTATTACCCAGCTCCAGCTGATGCTTCAGTTGCAGTATTACCTGGTGCCAGAGAACCTGGGAACAACTAATTCTTGCCCTGATTAATGCCCAGATAGCTACAATGCACTCTCCATGGAACTACTTTTAAAGACTAATCAGAAGTAACTATTAGTCCAGAATGTAGCAGCCTATGTGCTAACCAATGCCCAACCTTGGGGACACATTACAGCTATGCTGGGGGTTATGAATTAGCTTCCAATTGACTTCTAGATGTAATTTAAAGTAAAGTTCTACCTCAGCACATTGCTGGACCACTTGGTCCAAACAAAATCATTTGAACTATTAAGGCATTTAGGAATAGCATACTCCTAGTTCTCAACTTTGGGGAATAATAGACGCTAAAGATGGAAGCCACTGCTTTTCAAGTGTTGTGTTCGTTCTCTCAAACAAACTCCTACTGGAGATAAGACCAACTCTCTGATGACATTCAAGAAAATCCCAAAGCCAGAGTTGCTCCAGAAAGCCTTCTAATTAGACTCGTATATCTTTCATCTTTTTTATTTCTTATTAATATTGGAGCTGAGATAGAGAAATAATTCTATGGCATTTTAATTTTCAATTTGTACTATAGATAAATTTCTTTATATCATGTAAGCCTCTGAGAATCAATTCAAATTGTAGTGGGATATAACTGCAGTAAAATAAGAAATGTCTTGCTTAGACAAACAAAATATTTAGGAAATCTGGTCTTCAGAGGACAGGCTTGCATATTGTGTTAAATAAAAGTACTCTTGATTTTTTAAAATTTCAGTGTGTTGGATAAACTCATTCAACTATAGTTTGTTTGTCAAGCCATGTTTAAACATATCATAGCTTACCATGCAGTATGTTGAGTTTGATATCAATCAATCATCAAAGAAGCTGTTTATTCATGTTAATGCTAAGCAGGTGTCTCAAAATACAGGTTTTTCAAAAATTCACTTACTAAATGCTAACCATGTTTGCCTCAGTTGCAGATAGACTCTGAAATCTGTCTGGAATCCAATATCATAGACGGTAAGATCAGAACCAGGTATTCCATGAAGGCGATGATATTCCCAGTAGCAATGCCAGATACCTTTTGAAAAAGAAATAATAGAATCATAGAACAATTTACATCCTTTAGATCAGTGGTTCTCAACCTGTGGGTCGGGATCCCATTTGGGGTCGAATGACCATTTCACGGGGATCGCCAAACAAGATTGTCTGCCATTTTTTCCCCCTTTTCTTTGGCCACGCCCCTGGCACCCAGTGATGTATAAGTGGTTGGGGGTCACCACAACATGGGGAACTGTATTATGGGGTCGCGGCATTAGAAAGGTTGAGAACCACTGCTTTAGATAATCTATACTGTGGTTTGCTTCAAAATCAAAGAAAACTTTCTGGCAGAAAGATGCTAGAAGATCAAATATAAGAGTTACAAACTATATGCTTGACCTAACACCCAGTACAAGCCTTCCTATTATATGTATGCATAATCCAAAAACACTTTTATATGCTTATGCAATAAGAAATTTATCAATGGGATAAGAGAGAAAAATAGAGATTTTTACAGAAGTCTCTTGATTTGGTATGCTCTTGTTGGAGAAAAAAAAAATCTGGGACCTCTATTTTTGATAGATGAAAGACTAGGATTCTTTTGCTCTTTTAGAAATTTTGAATGTATTAGTTTCAGTTCCTGTGGTTTGGCTTTGGTTCCCGTTCCCAAAGCTTTATTTAATTTTTTTAACTTAATGATATGTCACACTTGCCATGCTGGCAAACATTTTCATACTTTTGCTGTGCTGGATTTCAAATTATTTATTGTATTTTTAAAAAAATTATTAGGTTTCATTTTGTGTGGCAAACAGAGATGAACTGTTCTATGAGTTATTTTATAAATTTAGCCAGTAAATAGTAAAGATAAAGCAAAACAAGCCTTACAATGTCTTATAGATATTCTTATTTGAAGAAAATAGCTTCCTGATTCTCAGTCATCAGTCTTTTCACAAATAATTGAAATTCCAAAAGAAACTTGCTGATAATTTTTTTGAGAAGGTGGAGCAGTATTTTATCTCATGTTTCAGACAGAAAAAAATCAAATTCTACTAGAGAGCAACATCAAATATGAAGAATATTGAATATTCTATACTGACAGCTGTCAAAATAGAGCATTCATATGATATGTGGGTCATGTTTGATAACTGTACAGGTGTTTATGAATCAGGAAACTGAAGAAAAAATCACTTTCTAAATTTGCAGTGAAATAGGTTATTAAATTGTCACAGGTGATGAGCCAGATAGTCTGTCTGTCCATTTATCTTAGAAAAAGCATATATACATTTTTAAAAAGCTTGCCACTCAAACCATCCTTATGTCCTGCCTAGTTAGTTAGTTGAGGTTGGATGCTTATCTCTTTTTGATGATGACGATTGTAAGACACCTCAAATTTTGTAAACTAAGTGTTCTTTAAATCTATCATGTCATATTTCAGTGTTTAGTAGGGCAATCATAGAACAAGGAGCAATCATAAACTTGCCAACATAAACTAACCAAATGAGCAAAAAGTAAAGATTTGCTTATTCCAATGGCAAATTCCTAACAAAAACTAATAGTGATATTATATTCAGATATATGAAAACACACATACTGTACATAACAAGTAAGCATCTGCATGGTGGGTAGAAGACTAGGGTGATTTTCCTTTGCCCAAGTACTAGTAAAATACTAGTATTAGTTATTGCAGTGCTGAAGGAAAAACAGATTGTGTGGAATTCTCGGTGGTCTCTGAGCTTGATTGTTTTCTTACAGACGTTTCATTATTTCACTAGGTAACATCGTCAGTGTTAGAAGGGAATGGGGTTTGCTTTTTATACAGTGGCTATTTAACATTCAATTAGTTCGTTTGTAATAGGAAGAGGGGATCTAGAGCACAAATAGAATGGCCCCATAGGAAGTCAGTTAACGGGGAAAGTGTGAGATGGTATAGAATTAAGAGATTATTAGTTCTGCTTATCTCAGTATTAGTAGTAAAATGCTAGGTAGCTGTATGTAACATTTGGCACTTACCATATCCTATAATCCCAATTACACCAAAGATGAAAATCCAGAAGAGAACTCCTGCTATGAATCTCAGAAGCACAAGAAAGAGCAAGCTGACTACCATTGCAATAAACAGCCCTCTGGGAATAAAAATAAATAAAATACAACAGTTAAAAAAAACGAGCAAGCAGTCTCCTATGGTAGTGTATCCTGGCTTAAAGTATGGTGCTTCAATTGTTTCCCCTAATTTCATTGAGATCTGAAGCAAATAGCAAGTAGAAATATAGAACAATGAATTCATAGAAAAAAACTGAATAAAGAAAGCACAAAAGAATGAAAAGGCAAAGAAGAGAAGCTAATTCCCACTTTGCGTGCATCTTCCACTATGACTGTTTTATATGCTGAAGGCGTGACTTTTGATGAATAAGAACTTACATTAAGATCCAGTACCAAGAGCTTGCATAGTCTTCAAAAATCTTCATCCCAACTGATCTTGCATCAAGAACATTATTGATGCCACTTTAAAAAGGAAAAAGAAAAACAAGTTTTAGACTATGTCCCTCTTATATAAATCAACCAATCCATAATAACAGTACAACATACCATTAAAAAAAGATAAGTCACAACTCTGTTCATAGTGTTTGGTTAATTGACCAAATGGAATATTCAGGGTTATAACTAGTAATAAAACTATATTATATTGAGGTTTGTGCCCAAAGCAATAATAAGCTTCAGGAAAATATAAATCTTATGGAAAAGGTAAGAATATAGGTTCTAATTCTGTACATATTAAATAGACCTACTTCTGTTTACTGTATATTACATGCAGATTATGCTATTAAACTATTAACATTTCAAAACAATTATTAAAGCTACAATAAAACCATAGGATATGTAAGCAACACTGGTATACCAGTTATACGCACAGCTCTAGGGAAACATCTATAATGTGTTAGTACTGGTTAACTATAGATGACTGTGTCATATGAAAATCAACCATGGTGTATGTTTGTTTGAATTAACCATTTTGAAGGTTGTGCAAGACAGCAAGTTTGCAGCTTATTTTTAAGGTTGTCTTTCGTATGCTTAAGAGCCTTTATAATGATTAAGATGTCAATAAGGACCAAAGAAATGCAGGTACAGGACTACTCTTAGCCATGGATATTTAGTGAGTAGCTTTGGCCCAATCACCTTTTCTCAGCTCAACCGGTGCTACAATGGTGCTCATGATGAGGAAAAATCGAGGAAAAAGAAAACTCCTGCAGGAAAAGCAGGATGTAGGTGAAATGAATTAATTGTTGCTTTTATTAAGCGGCCTTTAATATCCTGTTTGAACAGAAAGGACAAAAATAAAACAATCATAATAATTACAAGCTGTGATGTCATTATTGCACTGATATCGGTTCAAGATACTTGGATAAGTAGTGAATGTTTCAGATCAAAAAAGAAATTCAGTGGCCATGATTCCACTTCCAGACATGAATAAGAAAATAATTTGCATCTAAAGTTGTTCCTGGAACAAATGAAATCAAAATCATGAAATTCTTCTCCTACATAGAGCTTTGTCCATGAGATTACTACTGTAAAAAAAATAATCCATGGCAACGCATTCATATGACTAGTCCAGAAAGTTGTATAGGTAAACACAAGAACACAAACAATCCATACTTTGCTGCTTCCCTGAGATCCGTTACATTCCGTGTTTTTCCTCTTCCATCTTTGAAAGTAGTCTGATTGGCCACAGTCAGAACCCCGTTTTTAGTAGAAAAATCAGGAAAGCACCTCTTAAGAACTGTTAAAACATAAAGTTATGTGCAGTGTCATGTGTCTTTTTATTAAGATTCATATTTGATACTAAGATGAAACAATGCAGATCAAATTGCATTTTATCATATTAGATTTAACACCATTATATATAATAACAAGAAGAAACTGTATATGTTTAAAGCAGTATGTGCTATATATTGTGTAATTTATACACAATATCTGTTTCACTTAATTTACTAATGAAATGCAATTAGCTTCACTGGGATTTTAATATTGGTATCTCAATAAGTGATAATCTACCACCACTTGTCAAAAAAGATTTCTTCTAAAGCAACTAACAGGAACAGAGAAGGACTTCATGTAAAATTCTAAGAGGGAAGACAAGAATTACATCTTCATTTCCTGATCCTGCTAATTCTCAAGTTTTCTCGACAGTATTTACATTTTTAAGCATAATGCAAAATCCAATATAATTGCATTTTAAATGCAAAAATGAAGTAATCATATTCATGATTGATTTGAAAACTTTTTTAAAAAAGAAAAAAACAAATGACACAAGCAAATGTACCACTGGTCACATAACACAACACTTTTGGCACAAATTCTGGCAACCTTATTCCGTACAATGTAATTGTTGAGTAAGATTTATTGCTACAGTATCAGCCCCATATATCTTTTTCATTTTTTACAAATAATTTCATGATCTCCATTTTACTCTACAAACTCCTGGACAGCTAACACTAACCCTAAGTGGGTTTGTCCCCCCCATGGGAATTTCCCATGTTTTTTTTTACCAGGAAACGTAAATAGGGCAGACTCAAAGTCAGGAACCTCCAAAGCATACCAATACACTATGAATCCATTGGTGATGTCCATTTTGCACTGTGAATTCATGAATACCTAACCCTAAATGGATTTGCCCCTCAATTGGATTTTCACAATTCAGTGATCAAAAACATCCCAACAGGGCTGCTTCAAAAGTTCTTGGGTGCATCTAGCAGTGTGCTGGCGAGCATTATCATGAACCAACACCATACTGGAGGTCAGCATGCCCTGACACTTGTTATGTGCGCTTGTCTGAATTTTAATAAGATTTCGCAGTAGACTTCTGAAATGTTGATTGAACCACACTCCATGAACTTCACTAGAAGTACTTCTTTGACATCTTCGCATTTGGTGGGATTTTCTATGGCACCACTTCCAGTGTGGTGTTGGTTCACAATAATGCTCACCTGCACACTGATAAATGCACCCAAGAACTTTTGAAGCAGTTCTGTTGAGATGTTTTTGATCACACACACACACACACACACACACACACACACACACACACACACACACCATTGCCCAGATTTGGTGCCGAGTGACTATTACTAAGGAATTTCAAACCTTGTAAGACATTATGACAAGTGCCTCAATTTGAATGGCGATTATATTGAAGAGTAATGTAGTGCTGTAGTTTTCTAATGTGTATAATAAAAATTCTGTATTTGCAAGTGTCTGTCATTGATAAACAAAAGGAGGTTTATTTCCGAATTGTCCTTGTATTTTATCAGGAAATGTAGACAAGGCAGGCTCAAAGAGTCAGCATTACCCTAAGCATACTGATGCATGATGAATCTATTGGCGATGTCAATTTAACTCTCTGAGTTCATGGAGACCTAATCATATCTCTTAAGTGGGTTTGCCCCCAAAGGGATTTTCCCATTTACTTTAGAAATAAATGTAGACAGGGCAGCACCCTCTTAAGTCTTACTGATGCACTCCGAACCTGTTGTCCATGTTGATTTTGGTCAGCACCCTCCTAAGCATACCGATGCACTATGAACCTGTTGCTCAAAGATTTTCCCATGTATTTTACAAGGAAACTTAATAAGGTGGGTTCAAAAAGTCAGCATCTTCCTAAGCATATTGATGCACTATGAATCTGTTCATAATGTCGATTTTGCTCTCTGCGTTCATGGCGACCTAACCCTAACCCTAAGAAGGTTTGCTCTCCAATGCTATTTTCTCGTGTATTTTACCAGGAAAAGTAGAAAAATCAGGACACGCTTATCATACTGATGCATTACAAATGTGTTGATGATGTCCATTTTGCTCTCCAAATTCATGGGTACTTAATCCTAAGCCTAAGTGGGTTCTCCCCCCCCCCCGGGAGTTTCCCATTTATTTTACCAGATAATGTAGATAGGCCGGGATCAAAAAGTCGGCAACCTTCTAAGCATAATGATGCGCTATGAATCCATTGGTGATGTACATTGTGCTCTCTAAATTTATGGTGACACAACTCTAACCCTAAGTGGGTTTGCCACCCAGTGGGATTTCCCCATATATTTTACCAGGAAACATAGGGAAGTTTCAAAGTCAGTACCCTCCTAAGCATACCCATGCACTCCAAATCCATTAGAGATGTCCATTTTGCTCTACAAATTCATAGAGACCTAACCCTAACTCTAAGTGGATTTGATCCCCAATGGGATTTTCCCATGTCTTTTGCCATGAAAAGTAGATAGGGTATGCTTGAAAAGTCAGCACCATCCTAAGCATACCAATGTCTTTTCTCTAATTTCCTTTCTTTCTAGTTTCAGGATTAAATGTATTTCCTTACAGTTTTAGAACTGTGACATTGTTTTTCAATCACTGAAAAAAAAAATCACCCATCATCCTCATCCATCAATCATTACTTTCAGAAATCTCATATGTGACAGAAAAGCCCCATTTTAAACAACTGCCTATTTCCAGCAATATTCCATTTGTTAATTGGAATGGCTTGCTACTAGTAAATAAACCTTTACTTTTTTCCCATTCTTGCTAATATTATTAGCTAAACTGTATAATTTTACACAGATAATTACACAACGTCATTTACAAATCTATATTATTTCTCTTACTGTCAGTGTAGAAAAGTGGGGAGATCATAGCTGCATCAATTTTGCATTACTGCTTTCCTGCAATTTTTGTTTCTATTTTATACAAATTAGAATATACCAGTGATGGTGAACCTTTTAGAGACCAAGTGCCCAAAAACTGGCCCCGCCATTGCTCTGCCCCCATCCTCTGCCCTGCCTGCCTGCAGGGCCACTCACTGCCTCCAGGGCCCACCACAGATCGCCCAGCAGCCCAGCAGTGCTATGGCAGTCACGCCCTCTGCCCACGCCCTGCAGCATCAACTGTGCACAATGGGGTGTGAGGACAAAATCTTGTCTACGCTGCCTGGCTGCCATGTCCTTGGCTGCACTGCTCTGCGTGGGCCATGCTCAGGGGCAACTCTCCTTCAGGGGGGCTGCTGGAGAGGAGGGGGTCATGGGTGGAGGCGAGGCTGGGGCAACAGCATGTGTGCCCACAGAGAGGACTCTTGAGTATCACCTCTGGCACCCATGCCATAGGTTCACCACCACTGGAATATACTGCATTTTAGGTTATCCTGGTAAACGTCTACCTTTTTATAACTATTAACGAATTATAAAATCGTGGCAAAATATTACTACTTTTTTTCCTTCACAGCAATTATTGTAGTTTTGGGCTTCTTTGCAGCCAATAGACAAGCTACAGCATGAATAGACACTGGATTCATGTATCTCCCTATTCTTCAGCATGTTTTAAAGAACAGGGCTTGCAGGTTGGGTTTGCACATCATGATACACAACCCATGGTATATGAACACTCATATTTTCCTTTGTACAACACATTAAAAGAAAGCCAACAATCCACATTGCTGTCCAGGGATGTTAACCTGCCAGGCTGCGAGCTGGTTACATCATGCGGAGGCCACACCCACCCCAGCTCTAGCAACATGAAAAAGTTGTGATATGATGTTGCGACATGTCACGTGACATTGCAAGTTTGACACTCGTGCTGTAAACTGTTTTGTGAAGCCAAAAGAGACATTGAAAAAAAAGAAAAGGATCCTAATTAAATTAGAGTGAAAAGAAAAGAAAAAAAAAACAGTTCAGGAAGAAGTAAATGAATTTAGCATCATTTTATAGTCCCAAAGAGACTAGCATAAAAGGTATTTAGGTATGTAGATACGTGTATATAGCATACTGTGTGCTAAGATAAAGCAAGATATGGAGAAAATAATATGGAAATAAAGATTGCACACAGTATCACATGGCTCTAGCTTATTGAAGGATACAATTATCTGATATTTGGAGTATGTGAGTTGTCTTATTATATAGTAGCTGAAGCAAGGGAAGATTTAAAATGTGAAACACTAGGATTTAAGATATGCTGCATTCACTCTACTAGGGAAGGTTTTGAAGTGCTACAAATATATATTTATTATTTGAGTTTAGTTAGGTTTCCTTCCTTCAAGTCACACTTGGTTTATTGGAATTTTACTTAGCACAATGTATGGATCATGTGTGAACCATGGTTTTTAGCTTAGAGTTGGATAATACATATCAACAAAGCAAGATTAAAACAAACAGTGCTTTACCCAAGACGTAATTTTAATATTTTTCTAATTTGTCCCTTAAACTATGTCCTATGTCTCAAAACTCAAAAGATGAAAGATTGTAGTATTTGGCCCTGCCAATGTTAACTGTTACACAACATAAATACACAGATACTTACAAGGCCGGCTTGGAATAATCATAGAAGGACAATCTTCATCACGCATAACTTGGGCCACAGACTAAAAGTCAAAATAAAACCGTAAGCAGAAATGTTGGAAAAAAATCATCCATTTTTTAATGTTAAGAATTAAAAAGTTGTTATAAATGATCAGTTAGAATTTCAGTGAGAACTATGAAGTCCCTGTCTGACTGGCATCCTATTAATAGTAAAAGAAACCTGGAGGATTCCTGTCATGCTTCTGAAGAGAAAATATTTGAGCAAGTAGCTTTGACCTAATTTCAGAATTAAATTACCGTTTAATATAATAAGTGTAATGAATTTATGACCGAAATCCAGGCTTGGTAAGAGCTTTTCAATATGAGATAATGGAAGAAGAATTTAATTTTTGAAAGACTAGAGTAAGTTGCTTCAAACCAGTGACCTCACTGCAAATCAATTAGTTAATCCCAATGACTCATATCTTTTGCTTTATCCTATCGCTGAAATAAAGTATTTCCTAAACTGAATTGTCAGATGAGGATTCAAAAAGCCAAGACAGCAGTTGAGACTACATGATCAAGGTATCCCATTTTTGCACTTGCACTAATACTATAAGATGTACCAATGAGCAGGATCTTGATCATGTGGTCACAAACAACCTCTTGGCTTTCCTCCACCCCATCCCACCACAACCTCTTTGTTATGCTACTAATTATTTAATGAAAATTGAATATAGCCATTCGTTTCCCACTTTTTGGCCTGAGATTCTCCAATGTTGCTGAATTTTTTTTTCTTTTACAATTTATTTAAGCTCTTACCCCTACCCAGATGATTGGATTCCCTGGAGGAATGTCTATATTACAAGGCTCCAGATACATTCATTTCTGTGAAGTTCTGATAAACCTACTAAGATACTAGTTGTTTTTTTCCTTAGTTGATGATGCACTTTGAAATTTAACTACCTTGGTTAAAAAAAAAAATAGAGATGGGGCAACAGAGACCAAGGAACCCATTTCTCTCATCACAGAGGTAAGTTGTGCAGATGAATATTGCAAGCAGCAAACAGATATGCAAATTGACCTTGTGGGACAGAGAAGAAAAGGAGAGATACATTTGAACCATGATCATGCAATTCATGACCTCCTTTAAGTTTACCTTTCTCACTGTTTTTCTTACCTCTGCTCAAATGTTCTGGACCAGAGCGCTAACTTGATTCAACCAGTGATGATTCTTCTTTATAAATATAGATGCTTAACTATTCCATTGCACAAGGTCTTAATTACACTGTGGTGCATTGTTCAGTGAATTGTAAATGGAGGGCTTGTTTTAAAATTACAGAAAATTACAGTCACGGAATCAAAAATCTAGACCCTACTATGTTTTCAAAGATAGCTGGTGTTTTAGAGTGGTTAAGGTTCAATGGAGGAGATCAATGTTCAAAACCACTCTCAACTATGGAAATGACTATCTGTCAGTCCATTGTACCTCATAAGGTTGCTTTCGTAGGGATAATATGAAGCAAATGGCTGACATTTGAGCTCCTAGAAGTTATACAGGACATATATTCAATAAATATAAATAAAATAAATTACTTTTAAGTGGTTAGATGTTTGTAGTGTTGTAGTTTGGCCTCTTTTAAAATTTTAATTTTGGAGGCTGACGTCTTTGCACTAGAAACTTATAGCAATAACTTTGCTATAAGTCAGTGATGGCGAACCTTTTAGAGACTGAGTGCCCAAACTGCAACCCAAAACCCACTTATGCATCGTCGGGTGCCGGGTGGGTGTGGCCATTGGCTGGGTGTGGCTCATTGGGTAGGTGTGGCCCATTGGGTGGGCGTGGCTGCAGTGGTAACAGCAGACTGGATGGGACTAAAAAGTTCAATTAATCAATTCCAACTATGCAAGATCTTTTTTTTCCCCCGTGAGAAGTTGAAATTGACTGATTGATTGAACCTTTTTTTTTTGCACAAGGCGGCAGAGGCCTAAAGTGAAAAGGTTTTATAAAATCCAGCTGAAGGCCTAGGACTGGGGCGACAGCGCACATGCCCACAGAGAGGGCTCTGAGTGCCGCCGCTGGCACCTGTGCCATAGGTTCGTCACCACTGCTGTAAGTAATCATGGAGATAGTCATACATACAGTGGTGGGATTCAAATATGTGAACAACCGGTTCTGTCACGCCTCCGTCCAAGCCTGACTCTGAGGACGACATGGAGTTCCCTGTTGAGGCCCAGGAGGGAGTGTCTGTGGCTTCGGAGGACTTGGGAAGGAACAGGCTGAAGCAGGCCAGGGCCCTTCAAGTGTGGAACAGGGAAGGCAGAGCTCAGGCGAGGAGCAAGGTCCCTCCCCACCAGATCCCAGAGCAAGGAAAGCAGAGAGGAGGAGGGAACAACGGAGGCAGGCTCACTTGCTCGGGAGGAGAGCATCACGCCCCACTTCACAAGGCACACCTGGGGAATAGGTATTTAAGGAGATGCTGTGGGGAACAAAGGTATTTAAGGAGATGCATTTGCCAGGAACAAACGTGAAATCTTGTGATGTGAGCTCTTGTACCTGGACTCTTTGTATTTTGGATCAAGTTTGTTTCCTGCTGAGTTTTCCTTGCTGTCTTCAGTTTTGCAGTTTGCAGGTTACAGGCAAGCTGGGCGTTGAAAAGATCATACTTTGTTATCTGTTTTACTTTAAAGAACTGTTTAACTCCATTGACTGTTTTATTGAACTTGTGCCAGCATATGTGGGGGCTGTTGGGTGAACGTTGGCAGTGCTTACAAAGACAATTATTCTGACCAGCTAATTGCTTTGCCTCCATTCGGGGCCCTGGGTCATCACAGGTTCTCTGTGTGGAAGCTGCTTCCAGAAGTCCGTCTTGGGCCTGGACAACAAAAAATTAGCTACCGGTTCTGCGAACTGGCTGAATCCCACCACTGCCTGCAGATATAAGTTTGCCATTGATGTTTTTATTCTAGACTGATTAAAATATGCATCTAAACTCACCTTGCGTGGCTTAGTAAATCCAGGCTTGCAAAACTGTTTGTAGTACTCCCAATAACTTCTGTAGGAAGATTGCATTTCTATGTAGGTTGCAAATCTATCTGGGCACTTTGAAACACAAAGCTTTTAAGACAAAACCAAAAAAACTGATTGAAGCATGAGGATGGAGGATGAGACAGCTATATTACCAAAGGACCTATGCAAAGATTTGCCAATCTCTAAAAGTGCTTCTTTTTTTTTTAACAGACTGTTTGCTTAGCAAAGCATTTATACAGTATACACATATAATAATTTCTTCTTTTTCTTCTTTATTTTGTAATACCTAAAGAGGGAAATGAGAAGAAGCGGAAAGATTCTTCTTTCAGTGACTGCACACTTTCTCTTCTTGTTATTCTAAATATCTCATAAATAATTTTAAAAATTAGTTGTCATTATCCATTACTTGATATATGTGTATTTGGGGGGTGGGTGGGGAGGAAGTAATGAATAAATACAGGTATTCAGTCCTGCACTCAATATATGTTTTTCTTTCTTAAATGATATTCTAAATAGACAATTTCCTTTCCATCTTATCGATATATCTCTACTGAGAATACAGAATTTACATATAACAATAGCATTTACTTTACAGTATGTATATCTAATACACAACACTTTTTATTTTCAAAACAGCTGTATCAAGATATAATCTGTATATTCTTGACTGTGTACTACATACCTGTGTTGTAGGGCACTGTAGGTTTATTAGCACTATAGGACTGGCACATTTCAGAATGTTAAAATAAAATAAAATTGTTTTGTTCCTACAAGATAGAAAAAAATGATCATTTTCACTCTATGTATAAGTATAGCAATAATTAATAATTAATCAAATACATAAATATATTATACACATATTAAAAATTCACTCCCAAACCACTGCCTGTAGGGATTCCTATTATAGCATACATGAAGATTAATTTTGCGAAAATTGTTCTTTCCCTGTGCAATAGGATAGATAGCACCATTTTATGCTAATTTAATCATATTTTTCACATTAATGTTTTATCAAATATCCAATTCACCACTGTGCAGTAAATTTATCTTGTACATTTACAAAGTTTAAACACATACTACATGGTATTATGAAACTGGCATTTTTTATAGTAATCACAAGATGGCACTAAAAAATCAAGGAACAACTTGTTTGTATGTAGAAACCCTATAGACCTTATAAAATCCCAAAAATACCTTTTCAAAAGTATAGATCATTCTTATGAATGAAAGACCAGAATGAATTATATAGATATAAAACATACAGTTGCCTTAAGCCAACTTGGGGAAAAAGTTAATCCATTTATTTTTTAAAAGCAAGTTCTCATTAGAAGTACACTGAATTCCAGAAAGAGTGGATACAAATTACCAACAAATTAAATAATAAAGAATACTGTTTCATCAAACCTCTATGAATGGTCTAAAAATATTTAGAACTAATATGCCGATGTACAAAAATGGTTAAAATGACAGATTAAAACTAGAATCAGGGAGACTCAGGTTTAAGTCCAACTTCAGCCATAGAAATCCACTTGGTAACTGGGCCAGTCATTTTCTGTCGAAATAACAGAATAACAGAATTGGAAGGGACCTTGGAGGTCTTCTATTCCAACCCACTGCCCCAGGAAGAAATCCTATACCATTTCAGACAAATGGTTGTCCAATCTCTTCTTAAAAACCTCTAGGGTTGGAGATCCCACAACTTCTAGAGGCAAGTCGTTCCACTGATTAATTGTTTCAATTGTCAGGAAATTTTTCCTTAGTTCTAGGCCCATTCTCTCTTTGATTAGTTTCCATCCATTACTTCTGGTTCTGCCTTCTGGTGCTTTGGAAAATAGGTTGACACCCTCTTCTTATGTCAGGCTAACAAAGCGGTAATTTACAGGTTTGCTGTTACAGAGATCCACAAAGAAGATCCCAATGTAAGCCATTTAAACTCTTACAGAAAAAGATGGGATTTGAATTCGACAAATAAAATAAGGGAAAAAAATATCCTTCCAGGCTGCTTTGCCTCTTTTTTGAAAGCTGTCAAGACCCCCTTTGGCTGTCACTTTAGCATGGTTTGCCAAAAATATTTCATGCATTGAAAAGGGAAATTTTCAACCCCCTTTGAAATAGTTAAGAAAGAAAAAAAATCATACTCATATTCACCTATATGGCCACACTGCATCATTACGCTTTCTAATAGGACCATTGACTGCTATGAAGAACTGAAGTGTCCTTTAAAGTGTTCTGACTATCGCCTCTTGATATACACAATGAATATACAACTAGGACTCTTTAAAATTGAAGTTCAGATTGATAAATTCCAAATGCACACTGCAATGAAATTCATACAGCTGAGTGGCAATCTAACTGGAGTTGAAGTGTTGCTATTTGCAGATAATACAGAAAAAGCACATTAAAGGAATAAAGCCGTGGCTCTTTTTCAGACTATCACACTATTGTCTTCTCTATGCAAATGGAATCTTGGTTTATATGGAGATTAACAGGGAAATGAATTGACATAACCAAGTTCCCTCACAATGTACTTAACCCAAGACGGAATTAATTCTGTTATTTTAGTTCAATATCATCCCTTCCTGAAGAACTATGAATGTTGGAATTGTTTCAAAACATCAAATATTCTAAAATATTTATCTGGTATAGAATTTGTTGAACCATTGGAACTATTATTTACATTTTCCTATGCCAAAGCACTTCAAATAACAGTCATGTAAAGATTAGCATGTATCTTCAATTTTAACTACTCTCAAGATATGAATTAGAGGAAGCTTCTGGGTTTTACAAACCATAAATCTTTCATCCATATCAGCAACTGGTCAAATTTCATAAAAGCTTTTCTACATGAAATTTTTATTTTTGCCTCCTAACTAGCTTACCAAAATATTATCTTCATATATAATGAATTTTAAAGTTGTAATTCAAGAAAGAATGAAATATGCAGATAAGGCTTGATGAGTGCTGAAAATAGGTCCAAAAGATTTATAGTACAATCTAATATTTACTAATATATATATATATATATATATATATATATATATATATATATATATATATATATATGGAGACTGTCAAGCTTTGGAAGGCTGATGTATCATTCTGCACCCTTATTATACTTTAAGAAAAAAATATATTAAAATGCCACTTGTTTATAGCCCTCATAAATACTAAGAAACAAGTATATTCTCGAATAACCAAATGTCCTGAGCCAAACTGATACAAATCCAGTTTTAGCCAAGAAAGCCAGCTGGATGACTTTGGGCCAATCACTCTTTCTCAGCCTTACCCACCTCACAGAGTTGTTGTGGAGAAACTAGGAGGAAGAAGGTGTGCTGAATATGTTCACCATTTTGAGTTACTTGTAAAAAAAAAGTGGAATACAAATAAAATAAACTGGCACCATGTCCTTTTTCACACATTATATTAAGCCAGGATTTTCAAGAACTCAACTGCTCCTGTTTGGCTCTTCAAAAGTTCCTCCTGAGGTCTGCTTACTATATCATTTCAACATATATTACCGTATATGCCGGCGTATTAGGCGACCCTGCGAATAAGACGACCCCCGTCTTTATAGCTGGGCCACATTCCTAGAACGTCGTCTTATACGCCGGAAACTACCAGTATTTCCGGCGTATAAGACGACTCGGCGTATAAGACGACCCCCGTCTTTGGCGCCGATTTCAGCACTCGTGGAAGTCATCTTATACGCCGGCATTTACGGTACATTAGTTTGGGATAATTTTAGGGTTGGGGTGGTTATAATTTCCTTTCTACAGGTCTCCAGTTGCCATTTGGTAGGGAATGGGCTAGACATCTTTAGTCCTGTCCTCTCAAGTGACATAAACATGGCCTCCTTTAAGCCTTTGGAAGGCAGAGTTGCAGCCCCTGACAAGTTAAATGCTTGCCATATGTATCAATTTAAGCAAGCAAGAGAGCATTCTTGCCAAGTTCAGCTTCTGGCATATGATACTGCTTGAATAAAACATGACAAACTTACAGAAATAGGAAGCAGTCAGCTGTGCTTAGAAATTACTTTTCTCTCAGAATGACATAACAATTTCCCAGTTGACATCTTATTTAAGCATTCAGTTTATGTTGCCTAATCACACCCAATGCATCTTAGGTTTACAGTCACTTGGATTCATGATGTAACAGTTACATAACTAAGTGACAGACAAATGTCTGAGCTGAGCAGTGACTTGGTTTGAACTTTGTTTTTTTTTAAATAAATCTTAATTGGAATCCCAATTTAAAAAACCCTGATGAATGAAGGGAGAAGATACCTGCAAGCTTTTGATATGTCCTCTGCAAAAAAAATTAGAAAATGAGCTAATAGTTCTGATGCATGTGGTAGGAACACCGATGCAAAAGAATTCAGTACTTACTCATTAGGTGTATCTTTTTGACCACAAAACTGCCCATAGCTATCAGTTGGATAGGCTACTTTTCTTGGGTCACCATGTACCCAGGCTGTAAAACGGAGAAGAAAAACAAGAAAGCATCAAGTCATTTTGGTTGGAATTAAATTTTGCTGCTCATTAAAATGCAATTCCTATGGTCATGAACTGTTTTAACCTCTCCCAATGGCTACTGAAAATATTGATTGCTTCTTAAACAGTTGCTTTTTTAAAAAATGAAAAAATATGGAGGGGATAGATACAAAGCAAAATACATCTCTCCCTCCCATTCCCCCCCTTTTCTATCAGAATGTATCTGGCTTACAGCCAGAAAATGAGGTAATGCACTTAGAAAATGACAGTTATTAAAATGAGGAGAGGGATGCAATACAAAAGCTTTGTTGGTGTAAAGCTGTACAATAGTATTGAACCAAACTAAATACACTCAACTGACTTCATGCATGCTTCTGAACTGCCTTCTGTACACAGAATTGTATGAACCAATTAAAATACACTGTCAAGTTCCAGTTTATGCAAATCACTTTGACTCTGATCTACTCTAATTGCTACAGTCTCACACTCCTCTTCATTTAATGGGGTTAAATGTAGAAATACTGGAATAAAATCAAGCCAAAATCAAAATCTTCTCCAAGGTCATCAGGATAATTAGAATCATAAGGCATGAAAATGCCTTGTTCACAACTATCAACAACAGCTCAAACACAAATCTTTGCAAGCCAAAGGTAGAAGGGACAATGTAATGCATAACTCCTAAAGGCCCAGATTTGTTTTGTTCATCTGGATTAAGGCAGAGTTTTATTTCCTTACTTTTATTTAAATATGAATGTCAGAGCATATTTCATTCTATCTTCATTTCTATACACATTTCATATGTGCAGAACATAATAATACTGTGGTAGTGAGTTTATTTTTCTTTCAGATACTGAGGGTTTGCCTTATTTTATATCATATGATAAAGTTTGACACCGGTGAAAAATGACACTTGTGAAACACTAATGTAGGTCAGATAATATATTGAGCAAAATCAAGTAGAAAAGAAAAGAATGCACCACTTAATCCTGCTATTATAATTTTCTTTTCCCACAACAATTAAATAAAGGACAATATTTCCTTCCTCAGTTCTGGACAGAAAAGCAACATCCATTCAATTACTGATTTTCTCCACAAAAAGTATTGCTTTGAAACCTAATAATTTCAATAATAAATTGTTCTTATTGCATGTACAGGAAAACACAATCAATACAAAGATTAAATTGGTTGTAACCTGCTCCCATCACATTGGCTATTGAAAGTTTAACTTAACTGATTGGGCATTTATTATTTATTAGTTAACCATATAGGAATTGTATATCATAAACTGCATTTTAATAACTCTGGAAAGAAATATTTCTGAAGCTGATAGTTACAGGTAGTCCACAATTTATGAATACAATTGGGATCAGAACTTCTGTTGCTAAAGTGAGACGGTTGTATGATGAGTTGCTTCTGATTAACCTTTTATAATCTTTTGTTAAGTGAATCATCCCAGTTGTAAGTCATTAAGTGAACGTGGCTTCCCTCATTGACTTTGCTTATTGGAAGCAGTTGGAAAGGGGATCCTGCAAGGGTTATGAATACATGCCAGTTGCTACACAATCAAATGTTGATCACATGACCATGGGTATGCTTTGATGGTTGGTAGTGTGAGGACTAGTTGTAAGTCACTTTTTTCAGTGCCATTGTAACTTTGAATGGTCACAAAACAAATGGTTATAAGTCAAGGAGTGTCTGTATTCAAAAGGCAGAGAGCACTGAAACAGAACATTGGAAGGTTATTATCATAAACCAGTAACTTTGAGATTGTAAAAGATTTGATTATCTTTATCTTCACGTGTCTGTGTCAAGTATGAAAAACCAGTAAGGACCAAATTCTATGTTGAAAATTACAAAACTAAAAATTCTCAGCCAGTATTTTTTCCTATCAGCATAAAGATTCATATCTGAGAAAGGTCCATGAATTTTAGATGTTTCGATTCTGAAATATAGACTTTTCTATTGATTGAATAACAACTAAACAACAAAGCTGCTTGAGAATTTTTTTCAGTTTTAGTCAAATGTAAATGCAGGGTCCACCCATATCTAATTGTAGTCAAGAGAAAAATCTTTTTCCCCTGTTCTTCTGTAAAAAGCCAGAAATATATAGATTCTATTGAGTCATGAGTAGCCTCGGGCATAACTGTGATTGTGAGCTGATTATAATCTATTTTTCCCTTTATATGAGCTTCATGGACTCTCATGCATTTTGAACAGGACAAGTGTCTGGAGCCCGTCCAAAGGTGATCTCATCTCTCGGTTAAAAATAAAGCAATGGACAAATGGGAAATAAGAAAAGGAAATTGTAATTTAAGAAAGAGGGACAGATGTGAATGCTACCAGTTTGTAAGAGGAAAACATTTCAGATGTAGAATGAGACACAGGGAGGAAAAAAAAATCTCTAGGTGTCTCTGCGTGTGAAAGATAACACACAAACATACAAAACTGGATCTCATTTTGAGCTGCTTTCAGCATCTGTTAGTGTTCAGAAATTTTATTTGATATTCTGTCCTTTTAGTTAAAGGCAAGCCCAATGTGATTTACATGTACACTTTTTCTACAGTGACCCAAGCTGTGAAGAAAAGCAAAACAAGCCAAGCATTCAGTCATTATCTCCATCCATTTTCAACATATTTTCCAAACTCTTATTATTTGGAGAAACCTCTCATAGAAAACTGCCATGAGATCCCAGGCAGAGGATTAAGAGAGACTTTATGTGGTAGCAGAAAGTGCAAAGCTGTAGAAACATCTAAGGATACAGCACAATTGCAAGCTTCCAACTGTTTTTCTGCTACTTCTCCCCCTCCTTGCCCCATCATTTTTTGATCATTTCATTTTTCATGATGGCATACCAGTAACAAAAGGTTTTTTTTTTGAAAAAAAAAATTAAAGAAACTATTTCATAAAGAGGTGATCTACAGTGAAATACAAAAGTAGTGAGGCATGATTCTAACAGAATGAAAGTCTTCTCTGCACATAAAATTGCTTTTGCTTCAGGGAAGATACAATTGGCAATTTAATCTCTGCTAGGATTTGCTGCTGCTTTCAACTGAATCACCCTACTGTTTACATTTTCTGCACCAAGGCATGTGAAGCCACAGTGTGGTGAGACCTAGCGTGCCTTTGAAATCTAAGTTTCTTCCATCTGCTGTGACTCTGAGTGAAATATTTTTTATAAGCAATAATACTGTACTTCAGGACTTGAGGTTTAATGAGATCTTTTACTACTTTGTCAAAACAGAGGCCTGTTTCCAGTTGTTAGCTGCTTATTAGCCCTAAAACGTAGCCTGAAATTTGAGGAACTAATACGGCTTTAAAAGATGCTACTTGACATTCTATAACAAGAGTAAGTAGAAGTTTTTTTCTAGCAGGTTGATCAACAAATGAAAAGAAATAATGAAATCTCAAACACAAGGATTTATTAAAAAATGAACTTTGCTCACTAGAAGTACAGTGACCATACTTTCTTGGAAAAAAAAAATAAAGGACAAATTTGAAAAAGGGACAAAAGAGGCTCCTAAGGATAAAAAAATATATATGTTTTACAAAAGAAAACGTCAAAAGCAGACCCAACAAAATAAATCATTAGACAAATCTAAATCATTAAATTAAATAAATATTCAGGATAGCTTTTTAACTACCCTTTATAATAAAGGATCTATGGATACTGAAAGTACTATAGGTGTACAAGGCAATTATATTTCTCATGTCCCAATGAATTAATTTCCTATCCTGTACAAATCTTTATTATTTGAAAGGAGCCACAAAAGAGAAGAAGAGATAGCCAAGTCTGCTTAATGTAATAATGTAAATCAGTACAGGTAGTCCTTGACTTATGACCACAATTAAGTCCAAAATTTCTGTTGCTGAGCAAGAGAGTTGTTAAGTAAGTTTTGCCCCATTTTATTTGATGACCTTTCTTGCCACAGTTGTTAAGTAAATTACTGCAGTTGTTAAGTTAGTAGCACGGTTGTTAAGTGACTCTGGCTTCCCCAATGACTTTGCTTGTCGGAAGGTGGCAAAAGGTGACCACGTGACCTTGGGACACTGCAACCGTTTTATAAATATGAGTCAATTGCCAAGTGTCTTAATTTTGATCACATGACCAGGGGGATGCTGCAACGGTTGTAAGTGTGAAAAATGATCATAAGTCACTTTTTTCAGTGCCGTTGTACTGGTCACTAAATGAACTTTTGTAGCTCGAGGACTACCTGTATTGCATTCTGATTATTACAACAGTTAGCTGAACATGGGCTTTTCCTTAAAAGTAGATGAAAAATAACATTAATTAATTGTAATATAGATCTAGGCAAATGTAACCCAGAGATGCCAAAATTGTCTTCCATGCATGCTAGATATTCCAGTTCTTAATTGCCCAATACTCTTAAAAGCTCTTACGGGCTTATTTTTGGTTATTTGGAGCTTCTGGAATTCAAACTGAAGTTGTTCAGGGAAGATGCATGAGGAGCAAACAGCAGTATTGATATTAATAAATAGCATCAATATAATTGTATTAAATGTCCAGCCAGAATATAGATCTACAATGTTATTGAAGAATACTGTGATGATATAATTTATTTTAGCAGAAAAGGAGCACCTGTTCCATTTTCTTAATGGTAATGCCTATATAATGTACAGGTCACAAAAGGTGATCACATATCCCTGGGACACTGTAACAGTCATAAATATGAGTCAGCTGTTAAGCATCTGAATTTTGATCACATGACCATGGGGATGCTGCAACGGTCATAGATGTGAAAAATGGTCATGTCACTTTTTTCAGAGCTGTTGTAATTTCAAATGGCATTCCATAGTTTGTTTCCGATAAATATTTTAAATGAAAATAGGTCTCTTTAACTGGTATGTCTATTTAATGGAAAACAACTTTTATTCAAATAGCATGTGAAGAACTACTTTCTAATAAACTATATCTATGAATATTACTTACCCACAATTCCTAATGCAATGTAACCCAGGATGACAACAACGAAAATCCCACAGCACAATACATCTGTGCAATGCCTGAAGAAAGAATATATCAAAATTACAATACATTTGTGGCCCAAAGCAAGTATCTCTTTTGACACAATAAAGACACAAGTGTATCAGCTCAGCACCCATTCACTTTTTGTTACTCTTCTTCCAAGTTTCATTTCAAAGCCACCTGTTTGCTTTCAGCCAATGGTTTTCATTCCAGAAATAATAGTAGTAGTAGTAGTAGTAGTAGTAGTAGTAGTAGTAGTAGTAGTAGTAGTAGTAGTAGTAAAGTTGGAAGGGACCTTGGAGGTCATCTAGTCCAACCCCCTGCTCAGGCAGGAAACCCTATACCATTTCAGACAAATGGCTGTCCAGTCTCTTCTTAAAAACTTCCAGTGTTGGAGCATTCACCGCTTCTGGAGGCAGGTTGTTCCACTGGTTAATTGTTCTAATTGTCAGGAAGTTTCTCCTTAGTTCTAGGTTGCTTCTCTCCTTGATTAGTTTCCACCCGTTGCTTCTTGTCCTGCCTTCAGGCGCTTTGGAAAATAGCTTGACTCCCTCTTCTTTGTGGCAACCCCAAAGATATCAATGAAATATTTAGTATGAATTGTCAAACTTCAATATGCTTGGCTCTACAAAAGAGTTGCTTCCATATGCATTATTTTAATCACGACTATAAAAACAGTTTTTGTCATGAAAGTATTACCAAAGATCGAACTTCACAGGAAGCATTTTCATAGCCTTTCAGAGCACCTTCAAAAATATTATTTTCAATCAATTCTTTCTCATGTCAGGATATGAACAACTGAGTAAGAAAGATTGGATGAGGTAATGACATATGATATAATAGATTATTTACTATTACCTTCAGGGGAAATATGCTCGGTCAATAAGACTGTGGCAGAATAGCATGTTTACATAGTTCACTAATCATGCTAAAAGCATATTTAAGGTAAATCCACATTGGGAGGAAGGGAAATATTGTATGATCAGAGTTACTGGTGAAACAAACAAATAAGCCAAGAAAACTGACAAGAATATAAAGGTGACAGAATAGAAACAGCAACGGGTGAACGGTACCATAATATTAACTAAACTTAGAAACCTCACAGTTTTATTGAACAAAGTACAGGTAGTCCTTGACTTATGACCACGATTGAACCCAAAATTTATATTGCTAAGTGAGACATTTATTAAGTTTTGTCCCATTTTATGACATTTCTTGCCACAGTTGTTAAGTGAATCACTGCAGTTAAGTTAGTAACATGGTTGTTAAGTGACTCTGGCTTCCCCATTGACTTTGCTTGTCAGAAGGATGCCAAAGGTAATCAGATGATCCCGGGACACTGCAACCGTCATAAATATGAGTCATCTTACTGATGATTCTAATTTTCTTCAGACAAGAAATCATGCACTGGGATGCACTTCATGTGAAAATGTGTCAGGGGGTTCATTTACTAATTATAAGGCAACTATTAAAAGAGCTGCACCCCAATAGGTAAAGTTTTTCTAATGGTTACAATCAGGCTTCTTTTCATTTTGATTAATCTCCCATCAACCGTTATTATTTGAGAAGTGAAATGTGGTTTTACTTTCAATTTGGAGGCCCAGCAGCCACCTAGCTATGCCTTAAGAACATTTCTCCTATTTGCAGAAATAGTTTCCCACTATTCAACATTCCGATCTATTATACTATACAACACTATACACTATACAACGCCATAAACTACACGCTATCCAAAAACTACTTATACACTATACAAGAATGCCCTTTTCTTGTGGTAACTCTTCTGTTATACGCTTCCAAGGCACTTTTTTCTTAACAAATCTACTGTGCAGTTATATTGAATAAGAACAGTCTGGCAATAAATTGAAAAAAATCAAATAAGTTTAAAGGTTTGTGCCTCATTTTTGTTTTCTTCTGAATGATGAAATTTAAGAAGTTGCTCAAGACAGTCAGATTTTGCTTCCAAAATATGCTTAATTTCTATTCAGATTCAAGGAAAAGTCTACACTTTATCATTTAAATCATTTATGTTGAATATAATGCAATTTTATCCAATTTTATTCAATCAGTACCATGACAATCATCTGCAGATGGAAGAGACTGTGTTCAAGAACATAATTTTTTAGTTACTTGTAGTATTAAATATTAAACTCATGCAGTAAGATTAATATGGAAAGCCTGAATTCTGTAAACCTTGCATAGTAAATGAATATTAAATTCCCCATGGAGCATTGAACTGAATTGTAATAAATTCTAAATCAGCAAAATGTTAGATCATACCATGTTGGTAATTGTATATTCTATATTTTGATAGTTGAATAATTCCTTGACCTTCTAGTTCTTCTGAAAGATGTTTGCATTATGAATCCTAATCTAATAAGCCATATGTAGTTATGGCATGATAGCATATATTAAATGCATTTTGGTAGCTTAAAGAAATATGTTTTCTGCTAGGTTTAAACAAAGAATCTATCTACAAGCTTGTCATGAATCATAATTTAGTTTAAACACATGGATATGCTTATTTTTAGAGCTTCAAGGAAAACAACCAATCATGTTATTTATTTTATTTATTTATTCAATTCCATAGCCACCCAATTCAATACTGTTGCAAGACAATCGGTAAGAAAGAAGGCTTGGTTTATTCTAAAATCATACAGAAGCATATTTAAGAAAATGGATTTATAAACAAAATGATGCAATGTTTAGGGCACTGAATTAGGAAGGAAGGAAGGAAGGAAGGAAGGAAGGAAGGAAGGAAGGAAAAAAAACAATTAAGACAATAAAATAATTCATATTCATTTATTTATTTTCTTACTCCACTTATTTTTGTATACTCCCATAACCACCAAGCCTTCCCAGTACTTAATGTGATTATCTATCTATCTATCTATCTATCTATCTATCTATCTATCTATCTATCTATCTATCTATCTATCTATCAACTCAATAACTGATTACTAACAAATTAGAAATGGTGTCCATCTGATGAATCCTTATGCATTCTCCCAAATAACTTTATCTTAATCAATTTTGGGAATGCCTTCATGTTAGTTTAAATTCAGGAAGGAGATTGTTTTATAAGATTTGCTGTCACTGAAAAAGTCTTACTGTATATTCAGCAACACCTTCACTCACACCCCCAAAAAGTGTAAAATCTAGTCTCTTCTCCTATGACAACTGGCACAACTCCCATGACAACTCAATTTCAGTTGGAGGAGACAGTGTTGGAGATTTTTTGGAGCCAAGCCATATTTTGGAGCCAAGCCAAGAACTTTATTGGTTAAATGCAGTACTTTTAATTGTACTCTGAAGTCCAATGGAAACCAATGTAGGGCTCATAGTACTGGTGTTACCTGGCAATGGAGGTCCTCACCTACCAAAAGTGTGCTGATACAGCTTACAGTTGTAGATAGAGATAGAGACAGCCCTATCTAGAGAATCTTACTTACATGGTGATAGGGATAAATAGCACTAGCTATAGCACTTAGACTTATATACCACTTCACAGTGCTTTACAGCCCTCTCTAAGCTGTTTACAGAGTCAGCATATGCCCCCCCCCAACAATCTGCATCCTCACTTTATTGACCTTGGAAGGATGGAAGGCTTAGTTAACCTTAAGCCAGTGAGAATCAAACTGCTGGCAGTTGGCAAAGGATTCAATACTGTATTCTAACCACTGTGCCACCAAAACTCAAAATTTCCATTGTCAGATTTCCACAATTCAACTTGCAACTGTTGTCCCAAAGTTGGACAAAAGTCCCCTTGACCATACCCTACATCTGTTCATTCTGCAGTAGCTGGGATGAGCCTCAAAGATAGATGTCCCTGTTCAGAGTTAACATCTGAACGATAATAGTCTTAAAATCAAACAATATCATCATCTTGCTCAGCTTAAACTTCAGCCTACTTTGACCTGCTTTTTCTGAACTGCAAGGGCCAAACTGGAAGAAATATGGGTTCCCGATATCCAACCTGATTATGAACAATAGGTTGTCATTACACTGGTTACAGATGTAAATGATTGGATGTTAAATAACCTGACAGGATGGACTTAAGAGATACAAGTGTGATGTAGATAAAGTACGATAAAGGTTCCAAAGGATTTATAATGGTTAGTGCACTGTGAATAAGCAGTGGGTTGCAACAACAAAATGGGAAAAATGCGTATTTCAGCATTATGAGCGATCATATAAGATCCCATTCCACTGCACTGCAGTAGAATTAATTAGGAAAAGGAATGAAAAAGTAAACATATTTGTATAAGATCTATTTTATTTTAAGGATGTAAACTTTTTAATTTTCATCCTACGCTTACTATTGACATTCTCAGTATCAACACCCAAGATACATTAACATTATACAAGAGAATAAAAGATGATTTCACGAACTGCAAACATAACAACTACTTGTAAAGCATGCTAAGAATCTTGGGATGTGTCTTTCAAGTTGAAGCTTTAACAAATAAAAATAAAAAACCTTCCAAACAGGAATGTCCTTGGAGAGATGCATACAAAGCCATTTGACCACCGAGGTAAAGTGAGGCAGCCTCGTGAGAAATATGAAAGACAAGAAACAATTAAAAGAAAGGACAAAGGGGAGGCTTTTAGGGAAATTGTGAAATCAAAGGCAATGAAAAATGTTCACTGCAATTACAGAATATGTCAGTGTGGAGAGATGGAAAGAAGTACAAAGCCTTCCGTTAGAATGTCTTGAATTGATTTTTTATGAGTTAGGGTCATCAGAGAATCACATACAGTACTATTGTTATAATACTTCCATTTCCATACTCTCTCCACTACTGGTCTGATGTGAAAAATTAGGCACATTTAACGATCTAAGATTTGATTGCATAGTTCATTAAACTAGCCATCAAATGCAGGATGAATGAGGATCCCTGACACTGTTAGGGTAGAAAAGTCTGTGTTTCTTATGAGTTCACATGCTGGGGCCACAATCCAGTCTGGAAAAACTGCAAGTGATAATGAATGGTATTACTTAAACTAGTGGTGGGATTCAAATATGTGAACAACTGGT